CAATAGATTAGAAAATAAGACCTACACTGCCTTCATGAAGATTCTAAAGTGGATTAAAGGCCGAGTTTTTAAATAATAAACTCCTCAACTTATGTCATGTGCGAATTCCCTCCACACAAAAACTAGCAGCGGTATATACTCAACGAACGAGATAACAACTCTGTCCAAGATGAAAGTTATACTAAAAAACTTACTGTGCTTAAATAGAAGTCATGTCAACGCAGTTTTCCTCCCTACAGACTTTCGAGCAACTATTGTTAACAATTTCCTAATAATTTTTTAAAAGTGGCGAGAAACGCATGCCAACTTTCAAGTCATTCGGGTACCAAGTCCTGTACTATAAGCTTTACACGTGGTATACGTAAACCTATTTTCGTAGTCCTTTTAATAAACAATAATAACGTCTTTTTTAAAGAGTTATAAAGGGCTAGGCAACTAGAGCTTCTTTCTTGCTAAATTGCTTTGCACTTTAACCAAGTGATGAATTTGTCGAGTATACGGGTTGTTACAATTCCTTTATAAGCGTAGCTACTTGCTTAGGAACGTTTAACCTATTTTTAATTGTCTTTTAAGAATATTCTAGCCCAAATGAATTTTCCATTGGCAGTCTTTAAAGTAGAACGCGAAAAATTTCTAGAAAGGACAATTTTGGTAATATTGTTTATCCCCATAGGTGGAGTATGAAGAATGCATAGTCCTCAGGGCAAGCATTAAAGAATTCTAATAAACAAGAAAATTTATAAGATAGGAAAAAATTTACCCTTTTAAAAGTAGTCGATTCTATAGAGCAACATTAAATAGATTCCTTTATCGCTTCAGAACGTAAGCAACTTATAGAAAGAAAAAAACGCTTGTGGCCTCCTATGAAAATAACTATTCAAGCTAAAACAACAAAGAGATGATAACTAATTTCCATTTTTAGCTGTTTAAACAATAAATATCAAGATACTCTAACCTAATAATAATAAAAAGCTATTAAGAAACCTGTTAATAAAAATAAGAAGAAAAAACGAGTTTCTCAACCTCCGCAGAACCTAATACGTAAGATACACAGTGGGAAAAAGGAATACGTGTAAGCGAGACTCACACTGTAAATACTTCATGTAAAGACACAACCTATATCCTTAAAAAATTTTTTAAAACACTAAGGTACAGCAAATGAAAACGCGCTTCACAGACAAAAAGTAAATCTTGCCTAAATAACTAAATAACTAAAGGTGCTAATGGGGCTCCCGCTTATAGTGGCAACAACTATTACACGTCAAAATTAACTAAAATTATAAGGTGCTATGTAAATAATGTTAATAACAAAACAGGACTCAGCAAGAGGCACAACAAAAAAGTATGACTGCGCAAAAGCGAATGTGAAACCGCAGGAGAGAAGTATCATTATACTCCTCATTTTTAATGTGCTAATAAGCGCAGAATAGCTACCAAAAAAACGGATGATTATAAGTTTAAATTCGCAAGTGAGAAATTAAAAGGCTAGGAGACGCAGTCTAACCTATCTGCAGAGAAATCGCTTCCCGTCTATCCAGGTGGCGATTGTTAGGGGGAATCACCACAAAGTTAAATGGCAGGAAGGGCCTCCTTTCATTCTTAGTTCTTCGCGACCGCTAATTCATTTTCTTTGAAAGTATACACAATCCCCACTCTGGAAGGTGGTACAAGCTGTAAAAAACCTATTTAAATACCTACCATACGGTAGTAGTGCTAAAAATCTCAAGTGAATACTAAGCACATATGGAGTTCCTATAGTATGACTAAGTATTCTACTTTTAAAAACTAACACCTTATTATCAGCCAGAAAGTTATGATTAATGTTAACAAAAGATATGAGGAATTACATGCAAAAAAGTAATGACAATTAAATTGAACACTTAGGATGCTTATAACCCTTCACAAAATAATATAAATATACGCTGGCAGACATTAGCAAAGCCTTTTATGTGTAAAGCTAGTAGAGAAAATATTAATATTTTTACCACCAAAATTGCACCGTATAGAACTTTTGTTGAATAGGCAGTCGGATGAGCTTTTTAAATATCACTACGAAGTCAGAAAATGAGTTTTTTAGGTCAATGTAGCTATTTTGACCTCAAGATGATCTCAAGACTCTTTTATAAGCAGTTGACTAAACTTAAAGAATATGAATATAGCTGATCTCTTCTGAATATTTGTGTCTTTTACTTTTGTGACAGAAGGACGATAGTTATTATATATACTTAAGACGATTAAAGTAACACAACGCACAAATTAAAAGAGGACTAAAACATCAACTTACCTACCGACTTCAAGGCTTTCTCGAACTTGATTTAAACTAAGCTTAAACGTACACAACTTAAAACAATTACCTGTGTTAGAATATAATACAAACCAGCAAAGCCTACCTGACCCCCCATAACCGCTGAACTAAACAAGAACCTGTTTAGTTTGAAGAAGTAAGATGAAGAATAAATAAGTATTGTCGACTACTTGAGCTTTATTGCAGCTTGCAAAAACCCTAATTTACTCTACACAGTCTCACAACTATAAGGTTTTTGCGCCCGAGTGGAGTATGAACCTAGCAATTACCAAACGTCCTCTTCCTCTCTATATTTCTATACCGTATAGAAATTTTTGCTTCTGTTGATTACACGAATAAAACTGGCAATACAATCTGCATCGTCTGCCAGCGGGCACATTGTGGGCGATAATTATGACCTCTTTAAGCAACATTAACAAAAGGGAAGTCTACAAGCTAGTATGCATACTTAGAAGTAAGCCATTCTCTCATAGAAATAAGAGTTTAGAGTAACCTTATTATTACCACTGCTACCTTCAATTTGTTAATGCAATGAGGTACACCAATAATGATAGTACATTAATTTAATGCAGTATCCATCTCCCCAAAAAATTTACATCATCTATTGGCATAGGATTCCACTATGCTTAGTTTTTGGTGACTCTAATACATTTTTTCTGCTAATACCTGACTGAGAATACGTTCACATTCTTTATAAAACGTTAACACAGTCTAAGACAAATTTTTTAATTTACCAGTTACTTAATACGCTCGTATAACAAAAATACTTCGCACTCAAACCGACGCAAAGCCTGCTTACGATATATAATAATAGCTAATAGCAAATCTTATTTAAGTCTTCACAAGCACATATATGTGAGTCATTTTAATTATGCTTAATCTTTTAACCCTAGTGTCTTCTTATTTATTATTAAACTTAAAAATGAGAGACAGCTCTCAGTTCTACGTGTTCCAACTTACACAACTTATAATATGCACCACCTCAAGCGGTTGCAGTTGCTTTGAGTCCTTTACGATGACAGTAACTTTCATGTAGATTGTGCCAGGCAACAGGGGTTGATGCTTTGCGCGCGCAGATCTGCCTCGATGATTGAGACGTTTTAGATCGTTATGGTTTCCAATGACCCTGAGTTAAATGGATTATCTTCTGACAATTAATATGTAAAATGATATAGTGTCTTGTAATGCATAAATGCTGGGATGTGATATCTTACGTAGTTGCTAAATATAGTTTATTTCCCTTAACGCCGACCTCCAAAACTCCCGTACAAGTAGCTTTTGGAAGAGTTTTACCAAAAACTAAGGGAATTATTTTTTTCGGGGTCTAGGAGAGGAAGCTGAAATAGGAAGTTCTTCATCGTTGCCCACGGTAATACAAATACTGGTATGGTGCTGTACATTTTGTAAAAATTTAAATGCGGCAGTGAAATAAAAATATGTTTGTTTTTATTTATATATTTTTACTGAGTTATTTTAGTGTTAGTTTTTTTCAGAGTACAGGCCGATTTTTAAAAGGCTTCAAGTCATTTGAAAACTTACGTACTCCTAGTATTTCAACGGTATGAAGTTGGGTAAGCTATCGGGTCTGTGCCCTAAACCCAAATACTTCTTTTTGTCTGGACAGTCTGGCGAAAATATAGATTTTAAGCCCAAACTAAAAGCTCTACTGCTGGCACCATCTCTGAATCTCTCAAGGCCCCTTAGCCCATAGTTATGAAGCAAAGCTAAGCGCGATGACATCAAGTCTGAAAGTGACCTAAGTATTCGATTTTCGAGATCACTAACAGCCAAATTTTAACGCTGCAAAAAAAAAGTAATTAATGCCATTAATATTAGAAAGGTATTGTAGAATATGCCACTGAGTAGGGAATTAGTGTAAGCCCCAGTTCATGAACAATTTTATAATTAAGACGCTTTAAGACGCTTGTTACCCAATATCCACAAATCTAACTCACATTTGTGAAACGCAACTAACGAGCTAATTTTTGCTCAAAAAATTGCTAACTTCAGGCGAATTTTTAGTCATTTTAAGTATTAAAAATTCTCAGTGGCTCCAATGTTTCACATGTACTTCTCACCTAGAATCTCGTCTAACATTTAATAGTTTTCCTCATTATTAGAATAGTAGTAACAATTGTTTTTGAACAGTAAAACGGGGTTGTATGTTTTAATGCACAAAAAAGACCTTTACTTTCGTAAGTAGAGTTAATTTTTTAACATTAATAGTTTTTTAGTCTTTATACGTAGACTTTTCTATGTCATTCGCATTTACCTTTTTCTGACTTGCTGTGTAGTTTTCTATATTTACCAAATAGCATGAAGTCGTATATGTTGTTTTATGTGACTTTCACTGAACTTTTAAATAAATTATTCAATTTCATTTAAAAGTTTTTTTACAAAACAAATGATTTTAAATTAATTTAAATAGAATTATTAAATATCCAGTTTTCTCAAAAGATAAGGGATAGCCAATATAGGAGCTTAGACTCTCAGTTGGTAGTTAAGTCAATTTGATTGGTTTCCTTTTTACTACCCTTATTAAAAGCGGACACTTCTGTTCCTACCTAGAAAAATGGTAACTGAATTTATAAGCATTTCTTGTAATAGTTTGTTAAGTTTCAAAGTAAATTACGAAGACCGGAGTAGTTTATTTTTACCCTTTTTTTACTAATATCTTTTCTTGTGGATATTTAAATTGTTTTTATATATCACATAACTAAGAGCATACCCTCGTGAAAACAATATATCTAAGTTTCTTCGGTGTGAAGTAAATATAGCTTAATAATGAGCGATGACATGGATAGCGGAATGTTTGGTTTTGTTTTATCATATATTAAAGTTCTATTTAATGTTATGCCGTTGCGTACTACAGCTCAGCTGCAATGCGCTTTAGAAGAGAAAAAATTAGAGATAAAAGAACTTCAAGCAATAATAGACAAATTAAAGGTTTAACGATAGTAATAACTTTAATTAATATAAATACTTATACTTCATTCTATTTAAAGGAAGAGCAACGAACTGATACAAAAAATTCTGAAATTTTTAAGTTATCCGAAAAAGGTTATAACAATTTATTTTAAAGTAGTTTAATTAATTTTAATTACAGTATACTTTATATAATTTATATTTCTTTTATTTTAAAAAAATTATGCTAGTGCTAAGAAAAATGTCAATTAAAGGATTAACTGATGCCTTTATTACTCTTTTTGAGGAGGCCGATTGGTGTTCTAACAATAAAACTAATTCTAAGGGAATTGAATTCTTTTTAGAAAAATGTACTTTTCAAAATTAATATTAATTTCTTTTTTGAATTTATATAAAACCAAGATTACACTTTGCTGAAATCTCATTTAACTAATTCATTGAATACTAAATTTTCTTTTAAGATCGCTCAACCGCTGAACTTATAAAAAATCAAAGACTTAGCTCTAAAAATTTTGAAATTATACAAAAGATTGGCCAGGGAACTTTTTCTGATGTATTATATTTATATATATATATAACTAATATATCTCTTTACTAAACATTCAGGCGTTATTAAAGTCAGTTTACTTCTTAAACAGAGAAAATCCCCCTTTTTAAATAATTAAAAAATCCACCGTAAAATATAATATTGCTTTTATATCAAACATAGTTTTCTTTATAAAAAACTATAACAAATTTTTGAATACATTAATTTTTCTCGTAATAAGGTTCTCTTTTCATAAAGATAACTCTTCTAAGGCCTTATTTTTTCCATCGACTAAGTAATTTAATATAAATTAGTTATTATTGGTTGCCAATCTCTCACGGTCAAAGTACAGGATCCATGTAATTTTCGTAGTATCTCCAGTTCAAGCAACCACCCTCTCCATAAATTTAAATGTCATAAATTATTCGTAAAAGGTCTTTAAGAACTTCACTAAACGTTCTTACTGTTGTTTCACATACAATCCAGTGACTATATTTTTAAAACTAACTTTTCTAACGAAAACTTTGTAATATAATTCTTAGATTTTTCTGGCGAAACTTATAGATGATTCCGGTGAGAAACCGTACGTTATAAAAAGGATCCAAAAATCTCAAACTTTTTCTGAGTCATCTGTATTATCTGTTTTGTTACTAAATTTTAAGTTCTGGAGTTTATACTTCTGTAAATTTTATTTTAATTTGCGGCATTTTTTTATTGTAATTAAAATACCCTCTTAAGTAACTTGGATTTTTTTTTTTAGCTTTATGCATTTTTGTATGGAAACAGCCGCGCGTATCAACGCTCAGCTAGTCTTCACTATTTTTAGCTTTTCTTACCTTTTAGAAATTAGTAATACTAAAATTGCTTAACCGAATAGGCATTTTGTTAAATTATATAATGAAGGCACATTACTGTACAAAACAAAATTGATGTGTTTTAAACACAATAACTTCTAATTTAAGATTAGTTTCTTTTTTTTTAAACGACAAAAATCATTATTAATTTTTTTCCTACGGTTAAATAATATTAGTAACGAAAAATTTACAGTATGTGTGGCCTACTGTAGAGTTGGATGTGTTCGTTCTGGCATCTCGGCTTGATTCTCCTGGCATAGCTGTTCTGGATGTACACTTGAGCGACTCTATAGCACACATACGACTTTGATCTTTTAAACTTTTCTAAGAGTGCCTTTCAAGACCCCTACTACCTGTATTTTGCTTTGGATTTTTATATTGGAGGTGTTTGGCGCTTTTTGCTGATATGCCGTTATCTTTATAATATTATAAAAATTCTAATAAACAAATTAAGGTGACCTTCTCGGGCTGCTTGAAAGAAAAGAACAGTTCAGCGAATCCTGGGCTCTTTTTTACTTCGCTGAGATGGCCATTGGCGTAAATACCCTTCATGGGCTTGGGTATATCCACCGGTGCGTTGTCTCTCCTGGCGTCCAGCATGGAGCGGACTTCTTATTTTTGCAAACCTGTAGAGACATTAAGGCTCAAAACTTCCTGCTGCACAGCTCGGGGCACGTGGTACTGACGGGCTTTGGCTCGGCGTGTCGTATGACCAATAGAAAGGTGTTTACTTTTTTAGGAAATTTCACATAAAATAGTGATTTATTTTGTTATTTTAGAGCGATCAAGCAATTTATGTAACGACAGAGTACATGTCTCCGGAATTAGTAAGGATGCTCCGCGGAGAGCACGTGGTATATGGTCCGAGGTTAGAATAACGCTAAACATGTAGAGTCTAGGGGTGTATTTCAGTGTTTAATGCTGGGAAAGATATGTGCATAATAATAATTTACATTAACAACAACAAATAATACCAAAATATCTGTTGCATTAAGTTTATTATAATTCCTTTTTTCGAAATATCCATATCTTGTAAGTCCAAAAGAACTTTACATTAATTTTTTTAACCATAACAAGTTAACCTCAACAACCTGCTTTTAACAATTATAACTATTAGCGTGGACTGGTGGTCACTGGGCGTTATTTTATACGAAATGCTGGTAGGAAGTACTCCATTTTCTGGTTAAACCAATAATAAATTATTACTTTATCTAGTATACATATATATATATATATAATAAAGGAGAAGAAGTGAACGCTTTTACTCTTACTTACCGAATAACAAACCACAAAGTAAATGTTTTAGCTATACAGTATAAAACTTTAAACTGTAATTTATATTTCGGTAAGACGGAGTTTTCGTTTCCTCCCGGCGCTTGTGTTTCGGAGGCTACCCAGCAATTAATAAAAGGGTCTCTTTTACTCTCATGAAGTGGGATTGATTATTTGTTTTTACTTGTGTAACTGCTGCGTGGCTCAGCTTGATTGAAGAAGAGCAGGCGAGAATGAACTTTGAGGACATTAAAAATCATGAAGTTTTTAAAAAAGTCGATTGGCAGTCCGCTGTTGAAAGTACGCGCCGTTTTCCCCTCTCATTTTGTCATGATTCTCATGAACCAATTGCGCGCGTTAGATTTAAGGGATTTAAGCACTACAAAGTCGAGTGGTCTCAACGTCCCCTTCAAACCAGAGGTATGTTCTCTTCTCTGTTTTTATAAATTTACTAACTACTCTAGTGTTATCATTGGTTGGCGGGTTAATGTAAGTTGTTGACTATTGGCTGAGAGAGAATGGAGTGTACTTTTTTGCTGCTTAATTTTTTTTTCATTTTACAGTTTGTTGGGGCCTTTGATACTACTTTTTTTGACGAATATGAAAAAGAAGATTTATGTGCTTACATATCTGAATAGTACTGATTTTTCTTGATTTCATTTATTATTAGGCTCAAAAACTTCATTATTTGACAAAGCAAGCGAGAGGGTGTACTTGCTTGTTTCTAATAATATTTTATACTATTACTTGTAAAAGATTTTAATATTAGCGCTATTTACTTTTTATTTACCCTGCACAAAAACGGCCAAAAAGAATTTTTTTTTTCCAAGTTCAGTATCTAAAACATAAATGTATTATGCAGATAACAATTTTTTGGTATTTATCACTTTTCTAAGTCAAACTTTGTTTAGTTTGGTTTCCTCTTTTGTAAAATATTCATTGGTATACTACAAAAGAAAACACGTGCTTCCTAATGCATTATTTGGTTTAGTCTATAAATAGTTCACCTTTAGTCATCACGTATACTACTTTAGCTTAAGTAATAATTTGCTTGAAATCTAAACTTTTTTTTCCCAATTTTCCATGTGCCATCTAAATTTTGGCCAATGAATTATTCTCATTAGTCGTCATGAATATCACTTTGGCAACTTTTTGCCTTATATGGAGTTTTATTATCAACGTACCGCCAAGACCACAGGCTCGCCTGCGGCAAAGAAACAAAAACCGGCAGCTTCCTCTGCAAAACTCTCTAAAAGTATTTTACCTTTATTAACTGTAAATACAAACTTTGATTGCTATTATTAGTTTCCAGCGGAAATGTGGGAGTGCAACACAAAGAAAAGTTATATTAATCCTTTTTTTGACCTTTATGTATTATGTATAACAAGTAATGGAAAAAAAATGTAGAAAAGAAAAAGAAATTGTTGAAAGAAGTAGAGAAATGGAGCCATTTGTAAGGACTAATAAAAATCGAAGAGTTAATTTTGATCATGAAAGTTTGAACTTTTACTTTATTAATTTATTTCTTAAAAAATTTTTTTTTATAGCAAGCGTTTGTATTTTTTTCAACTTTATTTCGTTATTTTGGCAGCTTTATTTTTTGAATACGTCAAACAAAACGATATTGATAACGTAAAGTTAATGGTGGAGAGAGGAATGGCCAGCGTCGATGCTCAAACAAAAAGTTTTAGTCAATCTCCTCTCCATATTGCCGTATTATCATATATAGTACATGAATTGCTTCTGAAAAAGTATTAATATTTTAGTATTAAATTTTTTCTAGATAAGTATTTGAAAGTTTTATGCAGAAAAGCGTTTTTATATTTAACATTCATTGTGTACTTTTATTTTCTATATACTTTCAAGTGTATGTTTAATGCGTACGAAGTGGCTGTTTTCTTAGTAGAACAAGGCGCCCCTCTCAACCAGCAGGATGACTTTCTTTGTACACCCCTTCATCTTGCTTTGGACGCTGGTAAATAATTCTATCAACTATGTATATCTGTAATTAGGACTAAAATTTACTTTTAAATTACGTATAAAACAACATTAGAGCAGCTCTAAAACTATTCACAAACGTTGAATATTTCAGTGAAAAACGATATAAAAGTTTTATCTAAATCAACCAAAAAGTAGTTACTAAGAATAAAGTTGTTCTTTTTATTTCTTAATAAATATTATAATGTTATTGTTGCAACTAAAGTGAATTTTTTTTACTATAATTATTTTACCACTGACTTTTACTAAAGAACATTAAATTTGTAAAAGTTTGTAACCATAATAAGTATAAAACTACATAATTATTATTATTACTAACTTATTTATAACAATAAAGCGGTAACGTTCGGCTTCATTACCCTGTAAAAAAAAAATTGTCCTTTTTATGTTAAAAGCTTCATTAAAATTTTTTCAAAACTTCACAATAATTATAAATAAGGAATTTGTTTGAGCCTTGAGCATTTCCTTAGGAAAGTTAAATGATAAATTATAGATAACTGTATATCACGGTAATGTACATTACTTACGCATGAAGTGTTGAACTCCAAAGCCAGCCAGTAGGAGAACGTACAGCATATGGAATGCTCTCGAGCTCAATTTCTTTAAGAGGAAAAATATTTTTATGATCAATAATGTTTTAAATTTATTTTTATACTCATCATTTTTTATTTCTCTTTATGAAACAATAAATAAAGTCGATATTTACTTATATATTAGATTAATTTTTAATTTACATAATAAATTTAAGGAAAGTAAAAATGTGGTGGGTAAAAAATATATTACGAATATAAGCTCCAGCATTAGTTTCCGAGGAAAATAAACTTATAATTTTTAAATATTGATTATCATGTAAAACGTAGAATTGATGTATTTTTCATCAAAAAGTATACTCGCGATTTTATTGTAATCAATACAAGTTATATTCCTTGATAACTTGAAAAGCATTTGTATGATCTCCTTACGAAAAGTTATCGAGGAGCAGCTCTAAACAAAGTTAACCTTTAAATATAAAAATTATGCAGGCTCGAAAAAATTATCGCTGTACTTACTCGCTTGCGGAGCAGACGTCACCATCCCAGACGGCGAAAACTTAAAGGTTACCGAAAAAACGCAGGATCCAGAAATCCTTGATGGTTCGTCTTATATAGTTTTTGCTTATTATTTTTTTTATTATATTATTTTGCGTTACTTGAAGTGAAATTATGTAAATTTGGTAAACGATACGTTGATTATAAAATATTCCAATAGCATATTATGCTTAATAAAATTATAATCGACTCAATGTAAATTTTCTGATTATTGTTATAATTTTATAAAAAAAAATTAAATAATTTATTAGCGATACGTAGGGGTGTTGTTTCTGTAGTTTTACCTCTAATAATTATATTAAAATATTAGTTCTAATAAATTTGCTCCACCTGATAATCTAGCATTTCTAAGTTATAAAAGTTTATACTTATATACCTATTATATTATAATTGGTATATTTATCAAAGTCGTTATAACAATTTTTAATGTAACAAGAAGAAATTAATTTTATTTAATTAGCTATTTTTTAATTTAAGTTATTAATTTTTTTGTTGAAAGGCTATCACGAATAACTACAGAAAAAGAAATATAATTTTGAAAACCTAATAATTATTAGTTTTAATAATTTAAATTAAATTTCTAACAAACTAACATTAGAATATAGATTATTTCTATATCCATAATTACACGTTTTATTAAAAAATATTAAAGTTTACAGGAAAAAATTGGAAAATTACAATTAAAAACAAATAAATTCTATTTTCAATAAAAGAAAATTTATCAGTCTTACACGAATTTTTTTTTTGTTTACAATTCTAATTTTTAAAGCTATTCATATATTGCTCCTCCGCCAACACTTTTCTTTTATTTATTTACTTTTTTGTAAATCTTTTATTTGACTTTAAATACTTTTAATTTTATATATATATTTCTACAATTATTTTGTTATTTTACTTTTGTTCGTACTTCTATTCCTATATGCAAAGTTTATAAGTTTTATCAAAGTTAATTTTAAGGATTATTACAACTTTATATTTATCTTTTCTTATTTATTTTCAACACTTTCCTCTACTTTATTACAACTTTTTATATCTATTTAAACCTTAATATAAAAAATTGAAATTATTTGTTTTTAAATTTTGTATTTAAAGTATACTTAATTTCTTTCACTCTTTCATATATATTTATTTTTTTAATAAGTTTTGTTTATTCTGCCTTAACGTTTAGAAAAGTTATTATTAAAGTTTTCTAACTCAATAAATTTCTTTTATTTTTTTAAAAGTTAAAATTTAATAAAAATTTTAATCTAATTTAAATTTATAACTTTCCTCACTTAAAATTTTTGGTTATATTATCTACTTATGTTTCGTTTTTGATTCCACCCAAAATTTACTTTGTAAATAATCTTTGCAGCGCATTCAATATATTCTTTATAGAATTTGAAACGTTATACGACTGTAGTGTTTGTTTAATTTTTTTTTTTGGATTATGAAAGTGTAGAAGTTTATAAAACCTAATTAATACTTCATTAGTAAATTTTTTAATAGTATATATTTGTATTTTATATTTTTTTACTAAGAAAACAAAAGGAACGCCTTATTCTTATTAACAAAAAAAAAGATTTTTATAACTTATAAACCTTCTTTAAACGAATTATTCTTTTTTAAGCGATTGAACGACTGATGAAATAATTTGCTTTGCATAAGAAAAATCCCGCAATGGTTTGAGGTTGACTTCTCGGAAAACTACTCCAATAGTTCAAAAGAGAAATATATGGTTTATTTTTAAATTGTTAACTTTAAATTTATAATACAAATAAAGAAATTTTGAATTGTGTTATAACTTAAACTTCATAAGAGTATATAAAAGATTCTTTAAAAAAAAAATTAATAACCACAAGTGAAAAGTATAAAGTACAGTTTTAAAACATATTAGTGACAATATTCAATTTTTGGGCGGTGACTAGTTTAGCACTACTTTATTAGTGCCCTTGTTAAGGACTTCCTTGAATGAAAAGTTTGTTTTATGTAACCAACCGATCGAGTTAAAATTATATATCGAACTATGACCTTCTCCAGAATATTATAAAGTACTTTGGCTTAAAAATTGTACTGTAACATCCACTTGCGAATTTCCATTTAAAGGTAAATGTAAATTGAACGCAACAGTTATTTTTTTGGTTTAAATTTTAAGTATATCATTAAAAGCCCAACTACGGCTCTCTAAGTGTGAATTACGATGTTTAAAAAAAAAGTAATTGTGCTAAAGGGTAAACAGAAAAATATACTTTACTTTTTTAATTTTTTTAACATCTTTGAATAAGATCTATAATTGTTATTATCATTAAGCTACTACCATTCCTTTGTCCATTTAAAAAAAATTAGTTTAGGAGCTACGTTCTTTAGATTGCTTACAAGTTTAAAACTTTAAAAATATAAAAGCTTGTTCGCACTTATTAAAATGCTTTTAAAATTAAAGTTATAGTTTTTATAAGCAAACGTAATCACAGTTACAAAAAGGATGAATTCCCTTTATTTCCGTTGCATTCTTTTTCTAACACATAAAATTTCTGTCGAAAACTTTCCTAACTTTCGTACTTTATAATTAGTAAGATCAACTCCTCTTAAAATAATTTCTGATATTATAAAACTCTCCTTTAATGCTCAAAAATTCATCTATCCTCAACAACTTAGTTAATAGTAGGTTAAGGCTAATATTAAATCGTTAACTACATTTTACCATATAATTATCTATTAGAAATTATATTATATATCTTAAAGAAAATTATAATTTCCCTTCACAAGAACAAACTTTTGCATTATGTAAATTTTTACCGAGTTATTTTCAGTAAATTTCGAAAAGAAAAAAAAAAGATCCTTTTTAAGCTTTTTACACTTTATATAAAGAAATTGGACATAAAAACTTTGACCAAATGTCTCAAAGTTTTACATGGAACAATAAATAAAATTACTAAACTTGGATAATTAACATTTGAATTTTTTTTTGGAATGCAATAAATTCAAAAAGTGTTTAGTACCTTGCCAGCACGAACACTTCGTATTTTTAGAAAATTTAAGTTGTACTAGGAAAAAAGATCCTTAGTAAGTTTAATTATATATATCGACGAGCGGCCAGTGTAGCAAGTTGTTAAGGTAAGATTGTATAACGATATTTCATGCTTGGGATAACTACTTAATAAAGGTTATTGCCTACTCCACAAATATTTTTTATTAAAAAAACTAGTCTTTGGGTAGAAAATATGATTTTTCTATTAATCCCAATTTATTTGAAAAAATTATTTCTAAATTAAAGCTTAAACTGTGCGGTTGAATTTATGATATAAATAGTAGATAAGTACGCCGTATTTGTTGAGCTAAAGTTGAGGAAAATTATCATGAAAAACAACAAAAGTTTAAGTTTAAAAGTACAGTATGAGACCAAAGTTAGAGAATTCTACTATTATACAAAGTATTGAACTAAAATTAATAAAAACTTGTTAATAGTAACACCAGGGCAGGGAAAGTATAGCAAAAAAATTTGCATAGCCTACACAAAAACTTGTAAGTGGAAAGAGATAAATTTCTTTTGTAAAAAGGAGAAGAGTGAGAAGAGTCTCAAAGGATGCAAACGGCGATGTACACTAAATACACTTTCTAATAATTAAGTAATACCCATTAGCGCTGCTTTGATAGTGTCCCGTCATAAGGAAGGAGTAAAAAATTTACTATACCACAAAAAAAGCGTGTAACTTTACCTGCAACTGTTTTCGAACTAACTGCTTTTTCTTTCTATTCCTTTTTTGTCGTTGCTAACATCAGTGATAAATGGGCAATATTGGTGGTCATTACTTATTTAATTTTTCGTTAACCTTTCTAATATTATTTAAATAAAAAATGACTCATAGTATAATAAGTTCAGTTTTTTTGTGAATAGTTTTACATTTTTTATTTATTTTTAACTTTTGTATAAATTTTACTCTAGCCTTGCTGATGTTTCGGCGTAGAGTAATATATAATAATATTAGTCTTAAGAATTTCGCTGAGAAAAAGGGGTTTTCTTATAACTGTATGTCCACTGTAGCAAACGAAAGTAGCACGATTTTTTAATTACTTTTAGCACTCATATTTTAGTAAAATATTTTTTTACTTATATAGGTAATAACTTTAAAGATCCTTTTAATGTTCAACTACTAGATGATCGCCTTCATAAATATCTCTTTGGAGATAAAGTTTATGAAGTAACTAAAGAGAAGATAAAAATAGCGACAAGTGAATAATTAATATCACTGTCTATTCTCAAGGGCTTTTATATTTATATGTCATAAGGACTTTTGGAGCGGCACAATTTGGGAACGCAGAGATTAAAACCATTTCCGCCGGTTGATCAGTTGGAGTTACCTCCTTTAGACGGCGATGTTATAACTTATCTTAACGATGTTGCCCAGAAACAATGCGTACTTAATTAGATTTTGAAATAAACTGGTATACAATAATTTTTGGTCCAAAGGAGCCCTATAAACAGTATTCTATGAATCTCAGTACGTTAAAACCTAGCCCAATGCCTAAAGAATGGCGCCTCTCCAGCGGCTGGACCCGTTATGATACTATCTCTTCCGGGGCTGCAGCCAAAGGTTTTTATTAAAGCACAGTTTTGTTAATCTTTTGGTTAGATCTGCTCACCAGGCGAACGTGTCTCGGCGCCTCTGGGTAACGCGATGGTCTTCGACGTGGAAGTAAACTTTAGGGAATCCCAGTACCCTGTCATAGCAGTAGCGTTGTGTTATGAGAATGTTCAGCAAGACGGACAAGATCCCGATAGTACCTTCGTTAACGGGGTCTGGTATTCATGGTGTAGTTCAAACTTAGTATCTCTTCCAGGTACCGAATTTGCGCGTTTTTGCGTGTATTTCTTTTATTTAAAACCATTATAAATTGGTATAAGTAGGGAGCAGGGAATCTATTTACAAAAGAGTTAATGAGCTGGTACTTTTTTAATGGAGTTCTTATTTTTTAATGTTTCTTTAATATTATTTTACCAAGATTCCACTAAGCCGTCGTAAACCGCATTTGATAGTTGGGCATAACATATGGTCACTCTACTCACTATTACCGCTGACTACGAATTCTACTTTTCTCACTTTTCAGCTATGACAGAGCCCGGCTCGAGTGCGAGTATACTTTTGAGGAATCCAACAATCGGTTTTTAGATACTATGAGCATGCACATCTCTCTAAATGGTTTTGTTTATTTATTAAACTCTGCTTACCAGAATTTTGCTGGTGAATAATATTTTTTTACAGGATTGACTGCAGCTCAGAAAAGACTATTACTTAAACTTCGTAAAGCCACAGCTCTCGGGACGGCGTCTGAAGAGAAACTTGTAAGAATTAGAGACATGTGGACCAAGGTGGCAGCCCTGAACAGTTTGAAAGATGTCTATAGGCTTTATATTAAAAAAGAATTGGATAAGGTTTACAGTTGAGATTTCCTGCAGACCGCTGCTCATACGTTACTGGGCTAGACCGCAAGAGACCTTTTTGTGGAGGGATCCTTAGAAGATATTAAAGAAAACGCGCAGGCAACACTTTCGTCGATATTTATTTACTATTCAAGATTGCATATATCACTCTGTAGGACTGTTTTCGCTACTGCGCCGCTGACGTGCTTGCGACGCTTGAGGTACTCTAGCGCCTGCCACTTCTGGCAGAATAGCACATAACGGTGAAAGCTTGAAAGGTTTACCAGAAAATGTACGACCAATATTTTGAGGCCTGTCCTTCGCCCGCCACCTTCGCTGGTCGCTTTTCCCTCTAGCACGACGGCCTTAACCACTGTTCTGACTTCTTACTGATGAGCAGGCACCTTGTTGCTTTCGACGCCTGTTTTGCCGGTCAAAAAGGCTACTTTTGAATATTATATAGCGAGATGCGATGGTTTTCTCGTTAACACTAATGAATATTCATAACAATGTCCGAACGGTTATTATAAAGCAAAACTAAAGGAAACCGAGGAGATGGTCATTGGCACACTTAAAAAACTTCTCAACGAGGCCTTGAAAAAAGTTTGTTTATCAATCTGCTTCTCTCCATCGCCTCATATTTTACTATTTGTACAGAATCCTTCTGAAATAGAAAAGGACCCGTTTCTTAATCATTTAGACTGGAGTTTGCCAAAAGGTAATCATCAACCCCACTTACTCGTCACACGCTTTCAATCATATAAGGAAAACTGAGACGGCATGCCCTCCAAAATAAGCCCAAATGGTAAACGCGCCTCCTATTTTCCAGCTGTGTGTTTCCGAGCATCGTGTGACAGGTATCGCGACCTGTGCGACCGGACGGGGACGCCTGTCATGACTTTGAGAAAAGTTCGTTTATTGCACTTCCCCCAGGCCATGTGCTTTGCTTTGACTTCGGCGTGAACGCTACAGAGAATCACTCCATATCTCCTTCGGATGAGGTGGGACGGGTTTCCTATATATTATCACAAGCCGGTAAGTAAGGCTACGCGGATTGCCGACGGACCAACCTTCTCACGCTACCCTTCAGAACCGAACATGGGGCTTTGATCACCCGACTACCGGCTTCCATCAGCTGCCCCGCCGCGATAAAGAGCATGCAAAGACAGGCACGCCCTTAGCGAAGGTCCCTGCTTAGTTTATATTATCGGGCGTTTTTGTTGATTGGACCTTCTTCGTAGCCAGACTTTCCAATTTGAAATAGAACAATCGAAACTCAAAGGACGGCAGGAGGCTATACCCATCCTCAATGCGGGTTGCTGCTGTCTGCTAAGCTCCTTTGAAAGGCCTTTTGTCTTCCTGCTTGTTTGTAGCGATCGAGACTTCGTATTGGATTGGCACAAGAAAACGTGCCAATGAGCAGTTTATCCACGACGGTTTCCAAGAAGTGTTAAGTTTCTCGCCTCTCTGCTTACCAGAGTGCATTTCTCCAGATATAATCATCCCCATGCTGGTTCCTTCCGGCACCATCACCCGGAGAGCAGTAGAACCTCTGGTTCTGCCGCATACCTCTCTTTTGGTTGTTCTCAGCTAATTAACAGCCTTTACGAACCATTCCAGTGGTTGACTGCCAGCAGCCCCAAAATGAACAGGATTGGATCCGAGCTGAAAGCGCAAGTGCGAGCCCCCAAAGGTCGACACCCCTTTTGCTATACGCCTAATTGTGTTTGAATGCCGTTGGCGTTATGATGTGAAGGCTACTACTTTGTGGGCTCGGACGTTGATTCGCAGGAGTTGTGGATAGCCGCCGTGTTAGGGGATGCTTACTTCACTGGTCTCTCCACGTGCGCGCTCTCGATGTTGGTTAACCTCCAATTTCTATAGGATTGCATGGGAGCACTGCGTTGGGTTGGATGACCGTTTCCGGTGAGACTTCGGTAGAGACGCTCTATTGGCAAATGACTTATCTTGGCACTATTCTTAAGGGGAAAAGTCTTTCAAAACTGATCTCCATTCGCGCACCGCCGAGCAAATTGCAGGTAGACCACATGCTTCTGGCCTATCAGAAAAGTGCTGAATGCTTTATAGTGAGCCGAGACGTTGCCAAGATTTTCAACTACGGGCGTATATATGGTTCCGGCGTGAGGTCTTCTACTCAGAGGTCACATGCTCCCGCGCTGCTCTATTAACGTGTACTCTCTACCAGCTCCGCTCGGCGCATGCTAATCAATAGTATTCCCGATCTTACCTTATCGGAGGCTGACGAGAAGGTCTTGTTCAGCTGTTGGTCTCACACTTCTGCCCTTTTGTTATAATCTGTTGCAGGCCCACGATCTCTATAAATCCACTAAAGGCCATAAAGTCATGTGTACCGTAAAGTAGTAAGTATTGTTGCTTTTGAAGATTGGCTTCATGGACTTAAACTTTGGCTTATTATTTAGCGACAGCGAAAGATTTAGTGAGCTTTACGTTTGGCGGGCAGCAGGTGGCTGTTCCAGTCTACTCTGGGTTGGCGGCTCCGAATCGCACATGTTTAACAGGTTTTTATTCATTGGCCATGTTTACAGCAGCTTTCCACACGAGTGCTTGCCCTTTTTTTGCCGAATGAGCTAATATCTATAATATAGTCTTGAACAGGTCGTCAATTCAACCTATCCGCGAACTCCTTTTTTAGGGAGTGGTATCTCTAATATGCTGAAAAGCTCTGTCGTACGCATTGTTGTACTCGTCTTCATGTGAATTGTATTTGTCTCTGGTTATGCTAGGCCGGCAGTAACTATTCGACGTCGAGGGTCAACTGGGTTGTCCAGAGTTCGGCGGTTGACTTCTTACACCTTCTTTTAGTGTCAATGGAACATTTTTGCAAGCGTTATTGTATCCGTTACAAGTAAATGTTTGTTCAAGCTACCAGATAAACTGCCCTGAGCTAGTTTTTCCCTTCAAGGTTTGTTATAAGTATTCACGACGAAGTCCGCTTTTTGGTTTCGGAGAGAGACCGCTACAGGGCTGCGCTTGCTCTGCATCTGTCCAATCTCTATGTAAGGTTGGTGCTGCGCCTTTGAGCCACGTAACTGCATCGCTGTTTGTTGAATGTTCTTGTTTGGACAGGGCTTACTTCTCCATGCGTCTGGGGATGCACGACCTACCCATGGTACCTCTATGTATGCACTCATTGTCTTTTGTTCCCGTCTGACCCCTTCCGCCAAGTCCGTCGCCTTCTTTTCTAAAGTTGACGTGGATAAGGTCCTAAGGAAGGAGGTGCCTCTGCTTACCACTTTTCTTTTCCGGCGTCTGATTGGCTTGCAGGTCAACTTAGAGAGTGTGACTCCCAGCAACCCAATTCCTTTGCCGTGCGGTATATTTTTTTATGTTACAGTACTTTTTTGGTTTGAATTTTATTGTTTTAAAGTCGGTGAAAGTTTAAGTATTTACGAGGTTTTGAAGAAGACTAACGGCAGTTTACTCCTAAATAAGCAACCTCCTCTAGAATCTACAGAGGCAGTTGGTAGTTTCTCCGAATAGCTTTATTAATCAGCTGTTCTGTGTTACAACCTTCAGATCGTGCATGGAAGAAGCATTCGGAGCTTGAGAGGCGCGCTATGGTATGGAGCTCGCAGCCTTATTCAGCCCATAATATTCAATTTTTTTCGGTTAGAATACTTTTTACAAGCAACTGAAACCCGCCCTGGCCAACAGAAGCACCGAACTCGATACTACTAGTATCTCACGTTTAAATATTTTTTTACAAACTTTAAATGACTATCAACAGTTTTACTGAACATCAACTTATCTATTTTCTCCCTTAATACTTAGTTTTTGGCTTATTCTTTCACTCAGCTTCTTTAGTTGGACTATTAATATTTTAAAGCACTCTATACGCAGCATTGCTTAATTATATTAAGTTTGCAGTGTACAACTTATCTCCACATTATTTTTTCAGACACAACCGCATATCGTGAAGTGAAAATTATGAAAAATGGCGTTCAATATTACTTGTGCCCATTTTGTTTAAAAAAATTAAAAACGAAAAAGGGGCTTTCGCTTCATGCGTCTACTTGCTCTCGGCAGCCCTCCGGAGCCATCCAATAAAAATTAGCATTGCTTTCTAGTGTATAATACACTTCTAACTACCTTTATATCTATATCAAGGTAGGTGCTGGTAGTATATAGGAAAGTATTTGCAGCGGGCTGTGGGCTCCGCAGCGAGTCCAGCTTTGTTAGCTAATAAATGTTTAGTGTATTCACGAGAGAAGATTTAAATAAGTGTCTGGGAAGTAGAGTCTTGCACATGGTAGCTTTTGACTTCTACACCATCTTAAACTTGGGCTACTTTGGATGGTAGTCGGAGTCCTTTAATTCTAGAGGAAATGGCTCAAGTCTTCTAATTTTTATAGTACTATAAAAATATTCCTTAGTCTCTAGTGAATATTATAGCCTTCAAAAGTATTGCTCCCACACAGTGCAGGAATCTCGGCCTTACTGTGGTGTTCTTTTTTTTTTAACAAAGGCTGTCTATATTTTGCGGGTAGCCGTTTCCTTTCTAACTATTTCAGTTTAAGGTTAGCTGGATAACACCTCTTTTTTTAACTTTAATTCGTTTTTCAAGGATCTCCGTGGTGGTAAATAATTCTATTTCGAATTTTTTTTCGTCCTTTGGCGCTTGTTCGACAGCACCGGAATACTATAACAGGTTGAATATGGAAAGTCATCTTACCAGGTTTGAGAGTTGTAGCTCAGCAGTTTAAACCATTGACGCGTAAACTTTTGGCCTTTTGCTCGATTCTTACCAACGCGGCTTGTTCCATCTCGCCCTATTTTTAGGCTATGCAATCTGAAGGGCTACATCCATTATTACTCTCACTGAAAGTTAACGCTGTAAGTAAAAGAACCATGAGTAATATTATGTTATAAAGTAAAATACCTTTTAAAGGCATGACTTTAAGAAAACCGTGTGCAATAATACGAAATATATATTTTATAAAAATTTAAACTTTTTTTTTACAATAAACTTATAAGTCCATAGCATACTACGCATTCTTAAAATGAAAAGTTTATTTAAGGAATTAGAAAGTCTACAAACTCCAACATTCCACTCTATCAACAATGCTCAAAGAAGGAAGCCCTATACAACTGATATTGAAATCTTGGTCTATTATGTAAAAGGTTAAGAGGAATGTAATATCACTGGAACATATAGAAAACGAAAATATGATTTTTCCGTTTGTTTATTAGTGTAATCCTTAATAAAAATCAATTTGACCGACTTTAAAAAAGTGATACTATAAAAGCGAATCATAATTAATCGAAGGAAGGTACAAAAGAAGAATCAAACGAATCTAGTAGGAAAAAGTTATCTTTTTCTTTAGACAACAACGTGACTCGGAAAAGCTCGAGCAAATAATTTCCAATTTCCTTTAGCGCTTCAGAGTCCTAATATAAATATACTTCTTATAAGGATTTTAAATTTTAAGGTTAATAACTTGGAATATTTTATAAAAAAAATTTTTTTTAAAAGGAAAAATTACTAAAAGTTTATAATGCGAAGATAAATTGTATATAATAAGTTCAAGTTAATTTTAAAAGCAAAAGTTGAATTCAAGAGGTGTTATACTAAAAAAAAAAAATTCTAAAAACACGAATAAATAAATGTAAAAGAAAGAGCTAACGGTTAATTTATAAAATCACGAGTTTTCTATTTTTACTTCACTGACTTGCTATTGATAAAGTAATAATATTTAAAAAATCAAAAGAACTCTCAAACAGCAGAAATAAGAATAACTTTACTCACTATATATTACTACCTATTTGTATATAAACTTATAAAAAGAGCAATATATAAGAAAAGGTTTTTAGTTACAATATATATAGGAGATAAGGAATTCAAAACAGTAATAAACTAAACTTAAATTTAAATAAATATTTAACTAAGAGGAAAAACAGAGGTAGCCTATTATTATTGATTCAGTAAAAATCTTTGTTGTCAAATTTTTAACTTTGTAAAATTGAAAAGATCCCTCAAGAGTATTGCCAACAAGCAGAGCTTTTAAAAATTAATTACTCCAAATAGTAAAGTTTTAACCAGCAAAGCGTATGAATAGCAAACAGAAGTAGACTGTTTTCTTAATGAAAGTAAAAATGGCATAGTGGCATCCATAAAAAAAACAACTAAAGAGCTGCAAAAAACAATTTATAAACTTTAAGTAAACTTTTTTTTTTCTTTCGTAACATGAGAAAGCCTTTTCGCTTATTATTCCTAAAAACTCATCATAAACTGGTTTGCGTTGAGTTCTTTTAAGGACAAAATTTAAGTGAAACTTTCGGACGGAAAAGAGAAGAAACTGGCGAAGGAGATGGTGGGAAAAATCCAAAAGGCTCGCTTACTAACAGCTAATAACATGGGACCGGTAACTTATAAGTTAAAGGCAAAGAATTCATAATACTACGTTCTTCTCACTCAAAATTTACCCCATTTTATATGACCGCAAATTAAAAAATTAAATAGTATACTTTCCATTTTGGCGTACTGATGACTAAAGTGACTACAAAAAATTAATGAATTAACCAAATGTGTAAAAATTTGCATAGGAATTGGATAAGTCGAGCAAAATTTTAATAAATACTCCTCCATTTCCAGAGAAAATCGATCTCCTAGTATTTATAAAACAGTGATAAAAAAGATTTTTATTATATAATACAATACAGGTGTTCAGCAGTACTTATAAATAACAGAAATTTTAACCCTCTTACCATAATTGTTTACAATAATTATACAATATTATTAGACTTCCGTTTTGAAAAGATTTCACTATTTATACTAATTTTATTTTAATAAGTAGTTTTGTTTTTCTTAATTGAAAAACAAGGCCTTGCGTAGGGCTATTCAGATCATTCCCGTTCTGATAGCGATTTTAATTCCGCTACAACAAATATACTTAAAAAAAAATTATGGATATGAAAGCCCTGCATAATGATTGGCAGAATCATAGCCTAATAAGCATAGAGCTTAAATTTCTCAGCGGCACCAAAAAGGACCCCGCTTTTTCATAGCGGGAAACGGGAGAAGAATGGCTTAATAAAGTATATTGGATATTTTTTCTATGTGACAATAAGGAAAACTTTTATTTTCTTTGTACAAAAAAAAGTAGTGAAGCGGATATTTTGAACAAGTTGATTATGTAGAACATACTTTACCTATAAAAATACATAAACATTTTCCTGTAAAATAGTAAGTTGCCAGCTTTGTAAGATTAATATAAAGTGAACTTCTAGAACTTTCATTTCCACATTCCTCCTGTAATAAAGATAAATTAGGATACTAAAAAATAAAAATTTGTCTTTTAAAATTCTATATATAGTATAACTTTAATTTGTTTAGATGACTCTTCTAAATGTTATTGAACTATAATAATTTAAATTTCTTTCCAGCTTTAATACTAAAAATTTTAAAAAGTTATCGTTGAGTCACACTTTCACTACTCTATTTATTAGGCATTCAAGGTTTACAGATCATACTTTTCTAGGTTTATTTGAAAAACTTTACCAGTATAATCAAGTAGTCATAAAAAAATTCAGTATAAGAATTCGGTAAATTTTCGATGCACTTGAAAGATATTCTGGAGAAATAAAATAAATACTTAAATACTTTACTTAATCTTTTAAGGATATTGTAATTTATATAAAGAATATACATTTTTTGATTTATACTGTAGAATCTTATTATCTTACAAAAGTTTAGAAAGAAGAGGAAACGAATCAGAATTACTCTTTATAAAATAAACATGAACGGAAAATTTACATTAAACAGAACAAAAGTCAACTTTACAATTAATATTAAGGTAAGTTATATATTAAATGGCTTTAACACGGCAGGAGTACTAAAAATGTATTGATTCTATAAAAAATTGCCTTTATTAATAACTTATTCAGCAGTTTTAAAAAATATACATAGGCGTCTTACAAATAGTAAAAATTGATCTTATAAAGGGAGCACAAAAGAAATTTCCGTCAAAGTAAATATACACTAAATTTAAAGTAACTTATTAAAGTCATAATTGTTTTTAATTTAACTTTAAATCGTCAATTTAAAGTAGTAAATACTCGTAAAGTTTCAAGTATATCTGATGGTATAGAGAGTGACTATGATACTTTCAAAGTTACGGTCGACTTAACTTACATAAAAAATTTTAAAAACTTTGTTTATAATTTAAGATAAATAAGAAAATAAAAAAGTTAAAGTAGTAAGTTTATAACAATAATGTTAAAGACAACATATATATTAGTTTCATTATTAGAAAATTTTTGATAAAATTTTGGTACTATATAGTTTACAAAAAGCGGATGGAGGTTAGCATAACTTTAAGTTAATACCCGTCAATTTTTTCAACCATTCTAAAAAGGTGTCGAAGATGTAGGCACAGCGCTTTTGATTTTTTGCTATCCCCAAAGATCTTCAGAAGTGAAAAATTATTAAATAGTGAGAAAAAAGTTGAGTACAAGCGTTTAACAGTGAAACAAAAAAATAAGATTTATATAGGAAAAAAAATAAAAATATACTATACAAACTGTACTATTAGTTATATAAATAAATAATCAAAAATGTCAAATAAGTTTAATAAAAAATTGAAAATAATCTAAGAAATATACAAAATATCGAATTATTTACTGCAATAGATAAAGTTGTGGTAGAACTCGGTGATAACTGTAACATATCTTCTTTTAATTAAGACTCTGCTACTTTAAATCACTGCTATCCCTCTTTGAAGCTCATTCCTGTAATATATATAACGCGTACTAAAGTACACACCGTAAGCCGTCAAAAAGAAATAACTGTTGAAAAAGGTGAAAACAGTCAGGGAAAAAGGCTATTTCGTGAATCGCTTTTAAGTATCAATTTCTAGCGCTATATATAATATTTTTTCAGTCACGCAAAAATAAAAAGGTCTTAAAATAAGTAAACGAAGTAGATACTGCTAAATAATAAAGTACATAAGAATAGTAAGTATTATGAAGGTTTTTGACAAAACTCTAAGTTTCAGAAATAAAACTAGTGACACTTGAGATGCTTATATTAAGTTGAAAAATTAAAATAAAATAAAAGTTTTGATATATAACTTTTTTAAAAGATGATACAACTACGCAAATGAAGCAAGTAACTGCAAAAGAACCAAAGAAGTAACTATACTGATACCTATAAAGGAGACACTTATTGGCTAGAGAGGTCGCTCCTACGCGTGACTTAGACCCCTCCCTCTAAGAACTTAACTAATGTGCATGATTTGCCTGAAGCTGTATCTTCATCGCGCCTTAAGTTTTAAAACCTCAAAGGTAAAAAGTCTTTAGCTCTCCAACTGCGTCATTTATTTCAAAAGATACCCAAGCTACAGGATGTACACGTGAACCGAGGAGACCTCTTTATTAATTAGGATTCGATTCGTGCACAAATAAGTACTGAACTAACCTTTTAGAGTTTATGAAAGCGAGATTAAAACTCGTAAGTCATCATCAACGACCGAAAAAGAGAGTCGAGTCGTGGAACTCGAGCCCACGGCTTTGATACGCACGTCAAGCCTCTTAACTACTGACCTATAATAACGTCAACTCTGGAACCCGGTAGGATGAATTTACGTATTTAAACTATTACAATTTATCATCGGCTGTTAAATCACAGCAATATCAGAATAAACAGTATTTGGTTATTTCCATGGAGGGTGGGTTAACTGAGGCGTGTTAACTTTTTACATAATTATATAAAATTGCACTATATAGCTTTGGTAATAATAATGTTACTTACAGTTTTTGTATATATAAATAGTCATCATCATGGAAGTAAAGTGACACCTTTCAGTTTGTTGCAGCTAGTACCAAATAAATCAAAGAGTTTTTTTAAAGAGGAAATTACAGCAGTAGTACAGCTATATTCTCTAGCTCATAATTTACTATCTGTCAAAAAAGCACTCACATTTCTCTTTGTACATTTGGGAGTAGAGCCGCCCATTAAAATGAACTTAGTAAATAGAGCAACCAATTCTACCTAAAGAATAAGCTATTTATAAATAAAATTTATAATTCGTCTAATTTGGTGTACGCCTCCATTTATTAGTCCTATTTAGACTGTCATATAAATATTTTGCAATACTTTTAAAATACATTATCGTTCAAAACTGTTTCAATGTTTTGCATTTTTTCTTATAATAGAATAACTTTTTTAATAACAATTAATTACTTCAAAGTTTATACCCAGTAAACTTCTATATTTTAGTTACATTTAGTTGATATTTGACCTTAAATTGGTTTATAATTCGAAAAGATATGACCTAGTATAGATGAGAGATTATAGAAACTTGCACGTAGAAAAAAATTAAATTTAGTAAACGAGGTTTTAGTGATTCGTATAGCCCCCTTTTGCCAGAATCGCTGTTTGTATCCTCTTTCGCGTATTGGCAATCAGTTTGTAGCATTGATCTGGTTTTATATGTTCCTAATTTGATACACGTGTTCAAAGTTCGTCCAAATTAGCAAGAGCTGACTCGTATAATCCTAATTTCCTGTACGAGATTCTCCATGCATGCTCAGTGGGATTGAGACCAGGAGATTGCGGAGGCCAGTCTAGCACTTGGAACCACTATAATTGGGGCCATTTTCGCACCTTAGTGCAGTGTAAGTGGGCATTACCTTTTGAAAGATCAAGGCCACACCAATCGTATGTTCTGCCCTTTTTAAAGTCCGAGTGCAGTGTCGTTTGTGAAATCGTACTTCAAAAGTTAACACAAATAGTAATATTTTCGTTTTCGTAAGTTATATAATAGGACTTGTATATTTAGGCTTGACTCGCTTTCTAATGTGAGCTCTGCGAAAGAATATTCTTTGAAAGTTGCCGATAAGAAGCATTCGTGTGTTTGGAGGATATCGTTATGACACAGCCGGGAGTTTGTGTTATGCTATATATAAACGGTAAAAGGATTAAAATACGGATTAATGTTGTAAATCATGAACAATCTGACGGTACTGGCGTACTAGTTGGAAAGAGCGATTATAAGGCCTTTAATTATAAACTAGTTTCTCTGCAGGGGTTTGAAACGAAAACATCTAGTGCTACTAAAAATAGTGTAGTGTGTAAGCCGTTTATTGAAAATGGAAGTGAAGAAAATCATTCTAAAGATGAAGTTCCAAAAATGTTTAGAGATAAAGATAAAGAATATACTTTTACTGAAAAGATTGATGAGCTATACATAAAAGAATTAGTGTTGAAAGAAAGCTCAGTAATTTAACGAGCGCCAGTTATCTATTTTGAGAGGCGCAGAAGTAAAACAAAAAATAATTAGAGGATTGGCGAACCGTATATATACGCTCAAACGGGCCCCCACTTCAAAATCTGAAATGAAAATGAAGCATTTAGGGGTACATTTGAACAAGGTATACACTACGATTTGAAGCACATATGTGGTAAAATGAAGCGTAGGGTTATTCAATGAGAGCGCGAGAAGTTATTAGAAGGGCATTTTTGGAATTAACCAACAATTATGATTGGAATTAGGGGCATGTGGTGATAGCTAAATCTGGGTGTTTGCTACTGATTAGGAGTTACACAGAGAGCCCAAAACCTATATGAGGATCTCCGTTGAGCTGAGGGGTTACATGAACAATGCATTGTTAAGTATAGTGTCCCAAACGAGAAATTAATAAATATGAGAGCTAGAAATATCAAGTATTTTACCGGATAACGCCGAAAGCTTCTACTAAAGAGAATTAGATAAAGAAAGCAGAAACTACTTTGCATTTACAAATGCCAGAGTCGCGGGGTGCAGTGGACTCTCCTTCTATTTGCATATACCTATGCATTATTTGATTACCAGGTACCAGGAAGGTATGGGCATTGTAACCGACTGAAATATACATACACTTATGTACATGATTGCCTGATATCCAGTGAGAATAAAGTGGAAACATTACAACTCCTAGTGTAGTCTGGTGGCAAGATATGAGAAGCTTACTATTTAGTTAAGATTTGAAAAATATAGATTTTTGAAGTCTACAGTAAAGTGGCTGGGTAAAGAGCTCAGTAAAGAAGGTTCTAGAATGCGCATAGAGCGGGTCAGTCTTTTTAAAAACATAAAACCTCCTGAGAACAAGAAAGAACTAAGTAGTCTTTTACATATGCTTAACTACCGGGGCATGTATATTTCAACTCATGCCGGTATCCTAGAACTCCTCAGTAGACTGGTAAGGAAAACGCAAGGTTCAAATGGGGTGAAAAGCAATAATATCTGCATGGGCAAAGGCGCTGAAGATATTAGAAAGCAGAATTTGTGTTGAACAAGTTAAGGTCAATTATGAGTTAATCTTACCAACTGACACAATAGATCACAAGAGACGTAGGGAAAGGAGTGGCCCTTCTGCAGCGTTATGGTGGGAAAATGCAATACGTGGCCTTTGTAATTTCGGTTTAATAACTCGCAAAGGAATTACAGCATCACTGACCGAGAAGTACTAGCGATAGTTTGGAGCATTAGTTAACTAATAGAACTAATAAAGTTGAGTGGAAGTGAATTAGTAGTTGAGGCGGACCATAGATGTCTCTGTTTGCTTAATAATGACTGAAAATCATTCGTACAGAGGAAAAGGTATTAACAGATGGAATCAGATTATTCGTTTACATGGACTTAGCAATATTTTCTAGGCGCTGAAAACGAAATTAAAGTCTTGTTTTCTCGTCTGGTTCTATAAAATAGACAGTCCAGTGAGCCTAAAGTTACAGAAAGTATAGCGGCGTGTACTACCAGAGAAAAACAAGCAAGGAATTGATTTATAAGGCCCGTATTAACAGTTTTCACATTGGAAGCAAGAAACTAAGGGAAATTTTTTAAAACTTTCAAAGGAAAACACTGTGACAGATGAAGCGGTTCACAATTGGGATATCTGTCAGAAATTTGCTAATAATTCCCAACATAAACAGGAAGCCCTGTATAAAACTAATAGACCCAAGCTAACTTTTATTGTCTTCATATGGATGTCATGAAAATTCAGAAAGTCATGTTTGTTTTTAATTGTGTGTTAGTTATAGTTGATAAATACTCCCGTTATATCTGGGTTAAAAAACTGTCAAGACCATCCACAGGCGATACTAGAAACGCTAGAACAATATGTAAGATGCAAAACCCTGCGGAAGTTATAACAGATAGAGGCCCCGTATTTATAATACTGAAATGAAGAAATTTATGAAAACGTATAATATTAAATATCATGTAGTTACCGTTGGCCGCCATGAAAGTAATGGACTGGCAGAGGTGTTTTTCAAATAACCATAAAAAGGCCTTAGAAAAAAGATGTTACGAAGAACGCATCGAATGGGACGATATATTAGATGATTATTTTTATTGTTATAACAGATTACCCAATCCAATGTTTTAGGAGCCCCACCAACGTTTATGTTTTTTAAACTCCCGTTGATTACTCTATATTTACCAGGAATGGCAGCACAGTTACGTTAGGCGTTATTGAAAGAGCTAACCCAGAAAAGTACTAGATTATGGTGTTAATTATAGCGTAACTAAGACTGAACCTGAAAAACTTGAGAGGCGACAAGACTTATATGAACTTAAAATGAAAGAGAATTTGGTAAAAATGTGAAGGTTTCTCGTCTATAAACGTGGGTAATGTAATTTATTTCAATAATAGTTCTAAAGTCTAGGGTGAAATTGACTGGTCCGGGTGCGTAGAGAGAGTTTTGTGTACTGGTGGGTATGAGTTTAAATTTAACGGTAACTTAATGAATCGACATTGAGAACAAATTAAGAAAGCAACAATTAAAAGTTATATAATATGAATTTAGGGAAAGTAGGGAACAAAATTTACGCCAGCGAATTATTTCATAGGTCAATTATTAGTCGCTGTGACAAAGAGAGGGCATTTAAGGGTAAGTATGGAAGATTATGGCGTAGAATATCAGCTACAATGGATAGGTGGATAAGATGGAAAAGGTCTTAGGGTTAGATCCTTTTGATTTGCCTAATGAGGACACACTCTTTGAATACCAAATGTTTTTAAAGGATCACGCAAAAACTTTTCAATCAAGAAGTCTAACATATTATCCGCCTGTAGACTCTTGAGTGACCCCCTTCACCGGGGGCAGATATTTTACAAATTAACCACGAGATAGCATTTCAACTGTTTACTCCGATATAGTTTAAAAGGGGGCCGTTCGTAGTATGATGATTGGGAGCTTTGTGCTTATATAAATGCAGCCCTTGCATGCGCTCCTACAATTATTAACCTCTTGTTCTTTCTTCTTTAGGGTTGTTTTGGTGCTCCTAGAGAGTCCAAAATTATCAAATAAATTTCTAGTTCTTTCCGTTCTTCGGCTTCATAATTATATTACGTTAACGTCTATAATATAATTGTATGACGCATTGTTTCATATTTATTTTCGAGGATTTCTGGCCTGTAAAATCAACATTTTGATACTTAAACTTTGAAAGCGATAAAGACTTCAATAAGAAAGCAATTCCCTTAATACAAACTTCATTATATAGATCTTAATCTAAGTATATATATAGAAGAAAACCAATATAAGCAATTATTAATTAAATCGTTATAAAATTTTTACGAAAAAATTTCAAAGATAGAAACATTTTTAAAATAATCACGGGTCTTCCGTGGTTCATATACTATGCTCAGTAACACAGTGACTCCTGGCAAAGACACCAATATCCTTAGAGTAAAGTTAGCGAGTAAACTTCCAACAGTTCAATCGCTGCTAAATAACACACAATACCTTAACAGTTCCTTTAGTGAGCCCGATTAAGAGCCCTATGAGTTCCTATTGTTATTTCTACAGAGTACATATAACCAAGTCAAAACGTAGTGTGTATAATATGTTATTTTAACTTTAATTTTATTCATTTGCTTGTGATGGAATGGGATGCAGACGCCGGAATTCAGGTCTTCAAGAGAGGTCGGTTCTTTCTTAATTTCTTAAAAAAGAAGAACAAGGGTTAAAAGTAATTATGTACTATAAAAATAGACCATTAGGTTAGTAAATAAAAAATATTAAAATAGACTAAGTCAGCTTGGGCTTGAGGTCAAAATTAGTACTCCTTTGAGTAGGAAGCGTCACATTTTGTTTGACTAGTTGCATGTTAGGAACTTTGCCAATCCTAAATGAGTTTTCGCTTCAGGTTTTTAAATAGGTTAAGGTTTTTGTGTGTTTTTTAAATAGAAGAATTAACATATGCTATATAAAAAATTTTTTATTAGTTATATATTTTTATCTCTTTTTGCTATAATTTTAACTTATGGTTTTTATGGGGACATTCAGACATTCTCTGTCTCTTGTTATCCCATAACCTTTCTAGTTATTACATAAATAGTTTTGTAGCTTTTAATTTTAACGAACTTAGAATTTTTAATTTTTTTAATTTTATGGTAGAAAATGTTTTTTATTATTTATTTTTTAAAGAGTATTCTTTATGTAACTTTCCTTTTTTCACTTAACATAACGTTTTTTAGTATTAAAAAATTAACTCTTTGTTGTTATATCTTCTCTTAATAGAAGTACTACGGCCTTGTGGCACCCACAACTATTTTTGTCTTTTGATAAAGCCTTTTTAAATAGCGATTGCGTAAGTCGTTTTCTTATTTAATTTATTTACTCTTATAATTCTTTGTTATTATAATTTATTAAAAAAAAGATTTTAAGTGGTACTTGTACCTTGATTTACAACTGTTTTCGCTTTATAGTATTTTTTTGCAGTCTTTAAATATCAATGATTATATACTTATTTTTTTATTTTTTTTATTTTTTATAAAATCTAAACTTAAATTTAAGTTTTATGATTTAATAGAGTCAAAGTTATAAGAACTACTTAACTATCAGTTTACATCTCGTGTTCATTATTTATATTGTTTGTTTAACATTTTTTGGTGTACTACTGTAGTTAAATAACGGTTAAATTCCCCTTTTTTGAAATATAAAGTATTATCAACTTTTTTATTAATTATTTATTTTTAAAATTTTAGTATGTTGGCTTATTAGAAGATTGTTTATGTGAATATTAAATTTATTATAGATAACTGCTAAGAGACTGTTCAGAATCAGCAAAGAAAAATTGGTACAAACTCCACAGGTTTTTTTTATTGAGGCTTTGGAAAAATTGTTTTTTTTCCTTTTTTTAATTGATTCACTTTTCCTCCTTAAATTTACCTTTGCCATTTTCGTATATGTTTAGTAATCAGATAGTTATTATATTTTGCGTTTAATTTTTTTAAATTTATTGCTAGCTCTCTCCCACTTCTAACAAATTTTTTCTAGAAAAGCCTGGAAAAGTGGTACTTATACAAAAGTTATTTACTCTTGTTTGCGAATTTGCAACTTTTATTATAAATTAATTATTTTTTATAATTAGTAAACTCAAATAAAATAGTTTTAATCTTCTATTATTTAGCGTTCACACAAATTTTTATTTAGTTTTACTAATAAAAATTGTTAGTTTTCCCTGCAAAGTTATAGAATGAATTCAATATAAACTTGATATTTGGCCTATATTCTTATAAATTGCTTCCTTAGATAAACCGATTGTGAAGATAACTGTTTGTTTGTCACTAATTAGTTCCATCACACAAGTTTGCTTGCTCTCTTTGCTTTTGGTTTAAATCTTAAAGTTTACTCTGCCTTTTTCTGCACATTATCTATATACTAATCCCCCGCTTCTACTCCGTTCTATATGCGTGGGGGAGAATATAGTTTTTTTTGGTCTCGCTTTTTCTGATTGTTATTATTTTCGAATTTTTTCACGTTGTGACCAGTTAGCTCTGTGAGCTTATATAAGGCTTTGTTATTAAATTCGAAGCACTTAGTGCTTTCAAAATGCTGTGTACGGCTGTAATCTTAATTAAAAGTTCATAATATATTAATAGCCGTTTGGTTGGAAATCTCTATCTCTATTCCTTGTGATTGGTGGAGCAGTTTATTTTTATTTTAAATCCGAAAAGAAGAGAGTTTTGGAAGGTCTTGCATTTATTATTGTTAGTTTTTAATTTCACAGTTTCATTTCCTCTTTTTAGTTTTTTTATAACAAATTTTTGTGGTACTGTCTTTTGTTCATTTCCTTTAATTCTTTATGTAATAACAAGAAAAGTTTTTATAAAAGTAAGAAGCGTTCTAATATATATTACTATTGTTATGTAAATAGAGAGACGCTATAAGGACTCTCGTGGCCGCCCGGATGTGGGCGGGTCTTTTGTTTTAAAAGATCATGAAGGTTTGTTTTTAATATAATTGGTGAATTTTTTATTTTATCTTACGCTGTTTGGTATTAAGTTAAAAAAATTACATATTTTATGTATACGATTACTATTGACTCTATAAATGAAGTCAACGCTGAAACAAACATGATAAGTTATAAAACTTTTATTATTTGTGTGTAGTAACAATCTAAACTACCTCTTCTCTTTCTGTTTTTCCTATACCCCTTACCACTAGAATCCAGAAAACGGGCTGTTCTAGTTTAATCCCGTTCATTGTTACTCTGCTACCTTTTACTTTAAAGTAACGGCATGACTCTGATTTTTAAAGAGTTTTATAATTATACATTTATTTTTGGGGAGTACTTTTCTTGTCTCTGTTCTTGTTATCTTTATAATATTATAATATTACTGTGTCTGTTTATTAAATTTTTATTAGTTCCTCGCCCTTAACTCTTCTGTTATCGATTATTAATAAATCAATAAAGAAAACTAAATCAATTAACTGCATTGTAAGAGTGACTGTTAGACTTTTTTCATTTTTGTAATTGATTGTTGTGCAATTGTTATGTTATAAATGCTAAGGCATTGGTGTTTTATATAAGCAAAACATGCATTATAGCATAAGTAAAATGGTGAACCGATGGTGGCGCCTTTTCTCGGCTTCTGGTAGCCAACTCCATAGGCCTTGCCACACTTGCTTGCCGGTACAACGCCGCACTTAACCCAAGCGGCCTAGAGAAGTAGTGACGTATATAAAATAACTTACTTGTAATAATATCTATAATTTTTTTAAATATAAGTAGTTATTAAAAAAAATTGTTTATTTTAACATAATTATAAGTTATAATAATACTCATTGCTTCCTTCAAGGAAGAACCGTAACTGAAAACGACTTAAAAAACAAATGGACTCTGATATATTTTGGATTTACTCACTGTCCAGGTATTGTTTATTTCCTGTGTATAATTATTTGTACCTTTTTATAAAATCTCATAAGAATGTAATTGTATATAAACGATACTTAATATTCTCGCAATGTGGAGATTGTAATATCACAATATATATTTCCTTCTATAATTAACTGTTTACGACTTTTGTCTCACTTAAAAAATTCAAAGTACACTGTTAAGTCTTATATAACTGCAATTATATAAAACCACTAAAATGGTTGTATTTTCTTGTATAGTTAATAATGCTGTGACTTGTTGCGCAAGCAATGAGCTGTAGTCCATCAAGATCCCTTATCACGCCCGTCTAAGTTTTTCGTATTACTTTTGCACAGTATTCTACGATTAAAGATGTACTTGTTCTCATCATGATTTGAAAAACTGTTTTACGCTTTTTAAGCAAACTTTTTGAACCATATAGACCTGTTATTGACAACCCCACATAGTTTACAAAATAAATTGTATCAGAGCGAAGGCCTAATTACTTAGCATAGATTACTTTTTCTCTTTAAGCAGACATCTGCCCTGAGGAGCTGAATAAACTCACTGACGTGCTTAACCGCTTGGACAAACAAAAAATTACTAAAGAAAAAGTTGAGTAACCTGTCGTTGTATTAATATACATTGAGAGCGTGACTGTTACGTTCATAGTAAACGCGCATTATGCATTCATGCATTTTATTTAATTGTCCAGGTTTTTCCTTATCTGGTCACGGTGGACCCCCGACGCGATACCCCAACGGTTCTGAAAACTTACTTGCAAGGTAGTATATTTCACAAGTGTTACTTACTTTACTTTTAGACATTTATTTTCACGCTTACTATTGTCTACTTATTAACTTCAACTATAAGAGTTCAAGTATGTGTTACTTCACTGTTATTTCTATTAAGTTTTTGTTAATATATAGACTTCCATCCCCGTTTTATTGGGCTTACGGGAACTGAGGAAGACATAAAAGAAATGGTTGTTACTTCATTTATTCTTTGATGTTTACTTATAAGAATTTCACGTTGCATGTGAAGTATTTTAAAATATTTAATTTTAACTATAATATTATTTTTATAATTTAGACGATGAATACAAAGTTGTCATTTATTTTTGTTATTAGGGTTTTCTATCCTTTAATAAAATATTATTGTAAAATGTTTCGAGTATGGTTAAGAACTTTATCTTTAACTATGCAGTACCGTCAGTGTAAGTGTGTGATTTGCATATATATTGTGAGTAACAGAAACAACTTCATTAAAGTGAATATTTTTGTACTGTTCGTTAATACGTTGTGTAACTTTTTCGCTTGTAAGCAACATTATATTGTAATATAAATATATTGACAATTATATTTGGAAGGCGAAAACCTTTCGAGTTCACTACAGTAGAGGGCCTTCCGTTGACGACTCTCCCGATGACTACATTGGTAACTTGCCTAGCACTTATGAAGTGCAGTTGCATTACTTCTCCATTCTGTCTTTATGATTATTTTTATTGGTCAATATATGTTCCTCGGAACTACTGCTTGATAACCTAACCTTCTAGTTGGTTTGCACTCGTTCATTAACAGTACTTAAAAAAGTTGACTATACAGTAGTAGCTTTTATAGTAAAGTATTGGTCAAGCTAGTTAAAGCTTCTTTTTTATAGGCAAACACTGCACACTGTAAATATAACTTCTTTGTGCTACTAAAACTTTTTTGGGCGTGTATTAAAATTTGGGGCCATTAAAAAGTTTAGATTATGTTCACTATACTTTCTAACGTTTTTAATAGTTGACCACTCGATTCTCACATTTTTCTTCGATCCGCGCTATAACTTTTGTGCATTTTATTCCATAACCGACAGTGGAGATAAGTAATAATTTTTTTCTACAAGCTTATTGGTTTTATTTATCGTATCTTTTTTTGTTAGAATTTTTAATGAAATTACCAACTTTATTCGGTATAACCCGGATTTATAGCTTCTGATTTGGAACTTTGAACTAAAAATAATAAAGAAATTTATGGTAAATTCTTACAAATAATTAATGTCTTTTCTAATAAAATTAAGGTTAAACATACATAAATATAGAAATAGCTAAAAATAAAATTGTTATGGTTTATAATTTCAGCAAAACTTTTTTCGGAAAGTATTCAAGACTTGTGAAATGTTATAGCCATTAAGGCTCGACGTTGCGGTGTCTATATATAACAATTGGTCAGTAAATTTACCTTATGCCTTCTTATTCGAGCTACCCTACGTTTACTTTGTGACCTTTGCTATCGCACTACATACCAAAAGCAATCAATGTTTCGGTTAGTAAATTTATTTAAAGGGTTGCTCTTCGGCTTTACTTTCCATATTCTTCTCCGGCTCTTCAAGAAAGTTTAAAGTTTTTATCTGTTCAGAAAATGTTTCGTTAAGCCCCAACTTTTGTTAGAAAAAAATTATTACAAATTATATCAGGGTGTATATAAAAACGTAGAAAACAATTTTTTTTCAAATTCACATTGATTCATTTCTACAATTTAACATTGGGTATTAAATTTCTTAAAAACTTTATAAGACATATTATTCCATAACAGTAAGTTTAGCTAGACGTTATTCATGACTTTTTAAATATTATAAGCTGTTTTAATTATTTTGATAACCAAATGATTGCAAAAACATTAACCGCGGCAAACTTATAAATCTGAATATAAAAACTCTTTAATGCACAGAGTGCTAAAGAAAGACGAGTATTTTCATAGCTTCCCGTTTCATTAGTTTAACGCGAGTTTGTATATCCGTATATTGCTCTCTATAAGTTTTTGGTGTATGAAAAAGATGACTACTACTCATAACACGATGGTAATCAATATTCTAATAAAAAGTAAAACAACAAAAACGTTAATTTTCGGATCGCCACAAAAGTTTAACTCTCTGCTTATAAACTTATATAAAAATTTAATATCAAGTTGTAAAAGTACAGAGACTATATTGTAACAATATAAATTTCTGGCACTACATATAGATATTGCATTAATTTAATTGCTTTGATCCACTACAATAAAAAATTTAAATAACATAAGTTTTACTGTATAAATTATTAAAAGAATAACAATATTAAATCATTTTACCAAAAAAGTTAATTATTTATTATCAGTGTTAATATACTTGCTAAAAACACTCTAAGTTTTTTATTTATTTTCACTACTTTGTTGATTTAAAGAAGACAGGCTAAAATAGGGAGAAGCTAAAGATGAGGGCGAATACCATTGCTCCGATTTTATATGTTTCCTTTTGGTCTCTTCTCTGTTTCTCTTCCTAATGCAAACATTTGTATATTTTATAAATACTTAATAATTGTAGAAATTATATACCATCCTTTTTTCCGCAATAGCTTTGATTAACTGGCATTTCGGGTCTTTCAGTAAAAGTAAAAAGAAGAACTTTTAGACAATCAAAAATAACAACCATCCGCAAAGTCTTCAGCTAAGTGAAGAGGTTTTGTCGAGGCTATCGTTTTTTCTATCTTAAGTATTTTACAATTAGCATTAATTATGTTACCACACTCTTTTAATATATAACTTTTAAATTCTGATTGGTATAGCATATATAATAATAGAAGTGGTTATAATAACTACATTTCTTTATTTTAAAAAAATTATAGTTTTGATTTTTTTGGTGGTATCAGTTATAATAGTAAACTAAATAGCGCTTACAAATAATTTTGTACTTGTTGCTTTTAAGTTTGCTTCTAGCCATTTTTCCGTCACGGCTCCAGGAAAGGAATACAAGCGTAAGGCATTCTGACGGTATCCAAAAAAAAAAAACACGGCGAAAAAAAAAAATTAAATAATCTCGGCCTCATAGACTAAAAAAATAACTAGAGTAATGCAAGCAAAAAAAGAGTAGATATTAACGCAGGATTATGTAGAAACTTCCCATATAGCGGTTAATAAAAGCAATAAAATGCATAAGAAAAAAGTAAAATAAATACTCGTGCTTCCTCGGTCTGTAGGTCTCTCAGAAGATTGAGGATGGGCCACTTTCGACAAAGTGATTTCAGTTCTACTATACAAGCACTTGTGGTCGGCAGTGTCGATTTCTAAAATAAGTATTTACAATATTTTCTAATAACTATTAAGGGGCTTAGTGAAATAGAAGAAATAAGATTCCTATTTTACTACTATCGACGAAACTTGCCTCCCATAGTAGTTGGATCTCCTGCGAAAGGGAAACAGTTGTGAGAGTCCCAGTTAATTTTTTATTGGCTTGTTGAATATAAAATTATTAAATATATTTTTTATTATTTTATATACAAATAAGCATATTAGGGACTTTTATAAAGAGGTACAGTATATTTTAAACTCCTAAGTTTTAAGTTGCTTATAAAAAAAATTTATAGTACTAGTTTCACATAAAAAATAGATTTAAAAAACCAACGAGTTTAATGAATACGAAAGTCAAAATATACTAAATTAGTAACACCATAACAAGATAACCCTTTCCTCTATCATAAAGATTATAACATAATATTTACAAAGAGATTCAAAAGGCAGTATTCTAAGTTTAGCCTCAATATTGTCGTAAACTTTGTTTATGTGGTTTAATCTAAAAAATTTATACATTTAAATAAAGTCAAACACATAAAAGCTATAATAGAATTCAATCTGATTTAGAATACACACTTAAGAAAAAAACCTTTTATCCAAGCTTTTAAGTTCTGCCAGTAAATTTTTAAAAATTGTAGTAGAGTTTTCGCAAATAAAGCTCAGGCTGTAAAGCTTAAAAAATAATATTTAAAATTTATGAAATATAAAAATAAGTTATAAATTTACCAAGGAAAGTGTCTTAACCAAAAAAAGTTGGTTACTATATTTTACTTCAAACTCTATGATATAAAATTTTTAGTATTTCTTCGAACATAAATAAATAAACTTTGCTAGAAAATAAAGGCTTAAGACGTACTAATAAAGTATATGTATAGTATTTTGTATTACTGCTTACTTTTTAATTCATCCGTGTAAGTGGAAGGAGCCCCTGGCCACTTTGTAAAAGGCATAAATGCAGTATATGTAGTACTTGCTAGTATAAAAATTATCAGGAGCTTAAGCCGAACAAAATTTTTTTTTTTATCGTTGTATTTCAAGAGGGTAGTACAATTCTTATAAGCTTTTCTGAATCCACAATCTTTTATACTTGCAGTTACAAAATCAGTAATATTATGGTCCTGGTAAGGTCAGCGGGTTACCAGTCGCCACCACACTGGGTAGCTGTTGCAGATGTACTTAATTAAGTAGGAATGTAAAAGTTATTTTTTATGCAAGAAAGTTTCGTTGAATGGTAGACAATCAGAAAGGTAATCTTTCATAATTATAATAAAAAATTGCATATTTTACTTTTTTATATAATTATTAGTAGATTGACAAAAAATTTCATAAAAAAAATCCAATAGAACTTCCGGGAAAAATATACACCTGCTTATACATTTAATAGGTGCTCAAAGCATAAGAATAAATTGAACATTTAAAAACTGTAATTTTATAACCTCTTAGAAATTATAGGGGAGTAAGTGAACTATCGAAGTTATGCACCAGTTCTTTACCGTCCAGCCATGGAGACAACGCTCGGTCCTGGAAGTTTCATCTCATGATAATAGTTATTACTGTCCCCCTGCAATAATGTTGAACCCTTTTTTTTTTTTTATTAACTTTTAGTATAAAGTTAGATGTAGTTGTGTAAACAAGAAGAACTTATTATATGTAAACTATCCACCACGTGAGAAGGTGGACGCCCACTTAAGGGGGCGAGAAGTCATCTATCAAGATATTGCTTTTTAACAACAATGTATGTGAATTATGACTGCCTAATTTGGGTAATTGGCCCATGGCGGTTTATCCCCTATGATGGTGCCATCCCCAACTTCACGCGTAGTTTTATATAACAATTAAAGAAGAATAAAGAAATTAACCCAAGAGAGAAGCCACAATAGACAAAAACACTTGCCTAATTCATGGATAGCTTTAGTGTATACCTTTTACAAAGGATGCTATTAAAAGTATAACTTTTCCACGAGTTTTACAATCATTATTTAAAACAAATTGGTATTGTGAAAGCAATACTTACAGTAAGTATGAATAAGAAATTTACTGCCATTCATAAAATTTCTCCACACCACACCGAGAGTTAAAAGTTGAAAAGTGCGTTTTTACAAGTACCTTCGGAATATTGTTGACAATATTTAAAGCCCAATTTAACTGGCTCTTACATATTAGTTTTACAAAATTTTCTGTCTTTCAGTAAGAAACACTTAACTAAAAACTACGAAAAAAAATTCCAACTATTTTTGACGCGCTGCTGCAAAACGGATTCGGCCACTATCCTTTCCGGAGAATCTAGTAATAAAAACTTTGCTTGGCACAACTGAATTAAAAACCTAATGAGAGAGCCTGAAACGACTAAACAGAATAATTATGCTTTAATTAATCTTACCTTAAGCATTTATTAACATTTTTCAGTGTGCACCTTAATACCGTAGGCGTAAACCAACTCTGACAAGCTCAGGTAAAAAGACCAACAAAAAAGTAATAAGAGCTTTGTTTAAATTTTTTATTCTTATTTTTTACTTACATATAATAAGTCTCTTTCTTAGGAAGTATCTTGGCTTTGTCAAGGTGCTGAAGGGTAGCAAAGTCCAGACTTACGCCATTAGACCTAGCGTAAAAGAACTGCGCCAAAATCATTGGGAGAGAGATAATCTTGAGTTCTTGACTCAAAGCCTCCTGAAGACATCTTTCAGATCTTCCCCGCTTTTTTTTTTTTCAAGTAATAAACGTATAGATAGTTATGGACGGAGAACTTGTTTATTTGGTATTTTGCCCTTTTCTGTTTGTTTGTTGACCGAAAATGGGCAGACAAACATAGGTTAACGGTGGTGGCACCTCAACGGCCGGGTCATTACGAAGACGAGCACACCTGAAACCGTTTTTGAGAGCGTTTACCTACAAGCGGTTGAGATAACTTTAGAGACTACTTCCAATTATCTGCTTTTAATTGTGTTGGGTGAGAGCAAGACTATACGGTAGCTCACAGCACAATTAAGTATAAGCTACGCCCTAGGCAAGGCATTCCTTCAATCCTGCCCTCATTGTCCCAACCTTTGAAGGCGCTCTGTGCATAGGGTTTTTTCCCTACACTGTAAGACAAAAAACCTGTTTACTGCTACGCCAAACCTTCGCAACCTTAAAATCAATTCTTAAATGCTGAACCGTTTGGTTAAACGCTAAGAAAAGAGCTAGTTTACTTTCACATTAGCAGCTGGGAAGCGAACGAGATAATAAAATTTTGTTTTTTTATTAAAGAGGATAATTAAATGGGTAGGGATGGCCCGTAAAGTTTGTCGACTTAAAAACAATGTGCAATTGTGTAGCTTTTATAAAGTACGATTATAGTAATTGAAGGGTTATTCCCAAAACTCTTCATTTAATGTAATCATGGCTCTCTGTTCACCAAGTCTATAAACGATTTAGTCTCATCCGCTAACATCGGACAAAATACTATAGCCATCTTCCCCATATTAACTTTTATAAAACGGCGTTAAATTTTTTATTCTCCTTTCATAGTTAGCATGCGAACTAAAACCTCTTTACTTATAACGGGCGATAATTTAAAATTCAAGTTCCTTTAAAACAACTAGTTTTAACCTATTTACCACAATGGTAGTGGTTTCCCTGTTGATAAAAGGAGGTTTAACATGATTTTTAAACTTGCCACCACGCCAAAAAGTGGACTCCACCTCAAGGGACAGGCAATCATTTATAAAGGTATCCAGTTCTAACAGATTTTACCGTTTTAAAGTTAATGAGATCCAGTTAAAGAAAAATAATTTAAAAATTCATGTCGATTTAAAGTATTGATCTGGTGGGCATTCATATTAGTTCTGTTAGTGATGGATATAATGTTAAGGATCAGTTTAAGAGTTTAGGAGCGAGAGCCTATGAGTTACGGATAAAATATTTTTTAAGCTTATGACTTAGTATCATAGCCAAGATTGTAGAAATATATAACTCATCTAATTTGGATGTGAATTAGTTGGATATTTATAATAAGATAATCTATGCTCCTATTAAAGGAATAATAATTGATAGCCTTTTTTACTTTAACATCTTGAAGATGGAGCTGGCCAATAAGTAGAGCATAAAAAAAAAAGGCAAAAGATTAATTTTAGTTTCATATATTATCTATATACTTAATAAAGATACATAGCGGATGCGCGCTTTCTATGAGAGAGCGTTGAGGAAGCATAGGCTAAATGGTGCAAAACGTTTATTATCACACTGGACAATGTAATGGTCAGTAATACCAGTAAGTATCAACTGCAAGGTTACGAACTAAATTCAGATCATTTTTAAAAATTAAGGTGTTCTGTCGGTGTAATTATCTTGCATCTTTTTTAAGTTACATCCATTTTCCTTCCCTTCTCTTACCTTGTATACTGTCTAATCGTTGATTACTTTTACTCCTATTGGTTGTAACATCCCATATTAGAATAGCTTTAACTAATAGGTCAGCCCAATACACGCGAAATGCTTTGAGGACGATAACAAACTTTAATCGCTAATAATGTTAAATTTGCTGATTTTATAAGGTACGTCATGCCTTAGTGAAATAAAAAAAACTTATTTTTTATTCACTGTAAATTTGGGCGATGCAGCAGTTAGTTTAACTTCATTTATGGCCATAGAAAGTTATAAACGAAGTAAGCATGGAAAAAGTAGTAGGTTTAATAACTAAAGCAGCAAAGAGGATCGACGTTAGAGACCAAGAAGCACGGTTTCCAAAAAGCAGAACTTGACTTAGTACCCACAAAATTTTAAGTGGCGGAATAAATTAGAACAACAATTAAACTCAAAATTTTCAAGTGGGATGACAGACTTATCTAGTTACGCTTAGTAGTTGCTCGACTTTTAAAATTGATTTACTAGGCGTGCCATTAAGGATTTTATATCTTTATATTTGAGATCTACCGAAGGTAGCCACCGAATGAAGTGTTACAAGAATTGGTGGGAAATAGCGATACTCCCTATAATATACTGAACCTCATTGGCCATGGGTCATGTAGTTTAGCCCCTAAAAACTTTTAATACAATTACCAAAAGAAACTTCTAATATACCACCATCTATTTAGATTAAAATGAAGGAAAATATATATAAGCCTAAACATTTACACTTCACATGTATAGAACAAGATACTTGGAGGGGAGATCAACACTGTAATTAATCAGCAAAATATCGCGAGAGTTTTTAATGCTTTCTAATAAAATAGTATTAAACAAATATTGCCTTGTGCAAGAAGTGTAGTACCTAGCATAGTCATATTCAAAGGAAGGTAAATTGGAACTTAAATCTTGTAAACCAGATCAGCACTATTAGCTAAAAGAATAAAACAACAGACCTTCCACTATGAGAAAAAATCACAGTATCAGAAGTTAGACAGAACATTTTAGATTGGTTAAAAAGTTTTCATTAGGTAAGGGGTACTGCTATAAGTATGATATAATACATGAGTTTCGGCTTTGGTAATTTTTTTAATTGCATGCCCGGTGTGCACTCTTAAAATTAGTATTGAAAGTTTGTTAGAACATGGTGTGTTAGTAAATTCTTGCCCCTTAATTAATGCGTTTACTTTCTTAGTGTGTTGGGCAATCTACGAACAGTCCTTAAAGATGCATTAAAAGATACTAGAAATAACTGATGAGAGGTCAAGATTATTTTTTGTAATGAACTTTTAATTATAATATGCACAACTTAAAATATGCTCTTACCATGCATAAAATTCTTAAGAGCGGGGGGAAATTCGTCCATTTCTTTTATATTGGGTTCCTAAAAAATTTTTTGAGAAAAAAGATTATTCTGGTGTGAACTTGCAATTATAGAAAAAAGTTTGTTATTGAGCTTGTAACAATAATATACGGATGGTAATAAAAATTTTTATATTAAGAAAAAGGCTAATTCCAAAGATCGAGGCAATTGAACTATACGCAGCCAATTTTATGCTATCTCTAGCTAGGCTTATAGCAAACGAGTTAGACACCAAAAATGCAGTAACTGTCTAATTTATTGTTAAGCATGCTAACTTAGTTACCTGGAGCAAAGTGTCATGCGGTTTCCTAAATTAGACTACTTGTCCTCATTTTATAAAAGAAGAAACGCCAATAGCAAAGCTTATAAGTGAGCAACCCTCTTTGCTATTTGAAGTTGATGCACAGATAGCGTTAAAAATACATAAGAAAGTAGTTAAGTCAAGAAAAGGTAGCAAGTTTTGGCTTATTTGCGTTGGAGGGGGGGGACACTTTGTTATAAAAAAAGATAATCTTGGGGTTTTCATTAGTGTTGTCTTGCTCATTTAAATCGCAAAAATAGAATTAAGTAACGTGAATAAAAAAAGTAGGGCATCATTTAGTATTATCAAATTTTAATACAAAATAATTAAAATACCTGTGACCTTTATGGCGGACTTCATAGGCCGTAAGAAAAAATCTTATATAGTTAATTTCTTTTCTATAAACATAAAATCTTTGGTACTCTAAACGACTGTTACGAGTAGGTTAATACAAATTTATCATACTAAAATACTACTAACACTTATTACAATACTTATAAGCCATCATGTTTAGTACTACAGGAGGTTTAGAATCGAAAAAGGACAAACAAGTTTTTGCTGAAAGCCATAATTCGTTAATTCAAAGTAGTAGTTTATTTACTTACTTTTCTCAGTATTTCAAACCTGATAAGATATGTGTGGACCAGGAGACAATTAAAAGGCAACATTCTTTGTCTGGTCAAACAGAATTATACTATACTTACAACCAAGTTGCAACTAATCTGACTTCAAAAGACAAAAAAACCAATATTAGTAAGGTTAACACCCTGATTAGCACGAAAACTTCAAGGAATATGCAGTCAATGACCTTAAATAAATCTTATACTTTTACCGAAAAGACACTACCTAAAAACTTAAACGACAACCAAAACACTAAAGATCATTTTAAAGTAAGCAATAGCCTCTATAAACTATTTAAAAAAAATTTTACGGAGAGATTTATTAATTTTTTTAATTACAAACATTTATTTGACTGCTGTAAACAATCTGAAGGGGATAACAAATCAGTTTCCAAATATGACAGCGTCAGAAATCTGAAGAAATTCTCAGGACCAAATAGTCACCTTAACAAAAATAGTATATACCGAGGGAAAAAACAAGAAATAGGGCTTATTAATAACCATACCAAAATTGAAAAAGAGATATCTACCAGCTTCAAGCAGTTAAAAGTTTCTGTCACCACTGAAAAATCAAAATTAAATTCTGCAAATTCTAGCGGAAGCAAAATCTGTTTGACCAGCTTTAAGATACCTTTAGTTCAAGAAAATCCTTTCGAATCTGCTTCTAAAAAAGAGGAACACTCACCTGAAACACCAAATAAATTAGGTAACTAAATATTTTAACCTACTTTAAACATATAAACTAAACTTTCACCGATTGTTTATTTTACAATAGGCATAGATTTAAAAGAATCTGGAAAAGTACTTGATCCTGTACGGGTAAAAAAGGTATATATGCCTTCTCTTGCCTAATAAATGCAATAATCTACACTCGAATTTACTTGCTAAATAGGTTTCTTCTACCCTAAACAAAACTAAAAAATGGAATGTCACACAAGAACTCCGAGATTACGACTGTAATAACGGTTTAAATAAAAAAAAACTAGGCAAAGGTAATAATAAACACAAAGGACCTTATGAAGGCAAATATATAAATACAAATGGTGCCTTAAACTTATCAATTGAAAACGAGCAAGCTACTTATAGTTATCACACTATGTTTAACGATATAAATGGTGATTGTTCTACACTTACTGACGAAAATGTAAATATTACATATTTTTTTTGTAACCCTGACGATAGCTCTACTGAAGAAGACATAAGACAAGAGCCACTAGTGTCTCCAGCTTTATCATCCAAAAAGAAAATTGAAACCTCTCAGTTACCAATACAAAGTAATAAGGAACAGTGCTCAGCCTCACGCTCACTAAGAGCCCCGGCAAAAACGCAACTACCAGCTATTTCGCCTTATCAAAACCAAAATAACAAACTTTATCAATTAAACTCTACACAACCCATAAAAAAGGATGTAGCCCTTATGAATCCGAAAAGGATCCAAGCAAAGAGTGCTTATAGCCAAAAGCTAGACCGTCACCAGAGACATAGAGGTACCCAGAAAACTTCAACATCTTGCAAACCTCAAGATGAAAGCTATACTATTCCACTTACCCATCTTAGCCCCCAGCAGTGCGCTATAATTTTTAGTTGTAGCAGTAGTAATATCGCGAACTGCAGTGATAGTCCGGAGCTTATAAAACCCTGTAACCTTCCTGAAAAAGAATATTTCTCTCCTTTTTACGACACTTTACCGCAGCTGAATGCAGAAGTCTTAAAACCTTTGTCCTTAACGTTACCTTGTAATTCAGTACCTTCTATTTTTTACTGGTCAAATTTCTTGAACTATAATCCTTCACACTCTCGCATCAGTTTGCAGCTGGTTATTGACGATTTGAATGATACAAGTTCCAGCGATGACGAAGAAGAGAACTCCATCGATAATAAAGAGGCTCCTGTTAACAGCCTATCGGATAGCACTTTTCTGAAAGTTTCTACTCAAAAAATGAGTAAAGTTAAAACCCCTAACTTTGTAACAGAGGAAGAGTTCAAAAAAGACATGAAAGTTATTAAAATTTTTTTAGAGGTTATTCAGCAGAAAACATTGTTTTTATTAAAGGAACACGCGCAAAATTATACTACTGAACAAACCAAAAAAATATATACTGCTTTAAATGAACCTTTGACTTGTGTTGCGTGCAGTCCCTCTTGGCTTTCTTTTTAGCAACCAGAGAAAGAAAATTAAGGTGTTAACCTTCAAAAAAAAATGCTTACTTAAAAAGGTTGCACATAAAATTATTTAAAAATTTAGAAAAGTCAAGAGGAGATTTGGAATTTTTTTGGTCTTAAAGGATTAGAAACAATAAAACTATCTCTAAAAATTGCAATGGTAGCAAGCACTGTTTTAAAATAAAGCGAGCTCTTATTACTCAATTTAATAACTTTCATTACACCAGATTTATATTTTAATTCCGCTAAATTGTTAAAGTTAACTATTAAAGGGGAGAAATTTTTCTATTTTAACGTTGTTTATGTGATACATCTTCTCACACGACTCTAACTAGTTTTTCATTTTTTTTTTTTTTTGATCTCTTACTTTAGTTGATTGTGTTTGTAATTCTTAGTTTACCGAGAACTCGTTGTACCTTAAAGGTTGCGCCTTGGGATTTAGGGTTGGGTATAAGCTAAGTTTATACAATGAGTGTATTTATTTGAGTTCTCAGTTCTTTAGCTCTTTCTTGCCGCCCTTGGCTATAAGTTAGGGCTCATTGATTTCCTTCTTCCTTATTGCGGACGCCCACCTTCAGATGTGGGGGAAATCTAACCTTATTAAAGTCGTTTGCTGCCGGCGAGTTGCAAAAAACTATTACTGGTGAAAACACTGGAGCGGCCACGAGCATTTAACGGTTGGAAGTGATATAAAACTGATAGCATTTCTATCAAACAGCGTTTAAGTTATTGTTAAAAAAGGTAAACGTGGATTTTCTTTTAAGTTTAATTTTAGGGCACGTAAAAGCTGTAAATTTCAAAACTCTACTGATGGAAACGTTTAGGTTTTTTTGGACGGATTTAAAGTTTAACGGCTAGTAATGAAGAAACAATTTACTCATTAGTTATGAGGAACGTAAATCTAAGCAACTCAATACAATTATTAAGATAAATTTAGTATTGACCCCCTTGACCCTGTTGTATGAAGATTGGGCACAATCAGTGCTTCCTAAAGATAATAATTACGGAAATCCTCCCTGTAGGGACAGCAACGTTTCCTCCCGCTGAAAAAGCATAAAAAATTTTGTAAGACTTCAAGTCGTTATTTAGTTTAAGCTCGTATAGTTTATTATAAAATGTCTTTGTTGGATTTTAAGCTATTCAGTAGAACTCTTGATGACTCGAGACACAAGTCTGCTCTCTTTCTTATAGCCAATTCTTTTGATTCTTCAATTTTTTCCTGTTTGTGAGTCAGTACAAGAATAATAGATGTCTTTAGTTATCTAGTTATTATAAATTAACCGAAAATTCCTCAATCAAGGTCTTATTAGTAAGATCCATTATTTTAGAAATTAGTACTGACCTTGACTGTTTACATTTTAAATCTTTTGGTATTACAGAAGTAAGCACTTATAAAATCGAGCATAAAAAAGCAATACCCAAAAAATATTTTAGCAATAAGTTTAAGTAAAACAATGCGTCTGCGTCTTGAGAGGCAATTTTTTTGATTTTTTCCACCGCTAAGTTTACTAAGTGTTCGGCGCTTACTCCCGTTGCTAGCGCTTTTGCAGGTTTTTTTAAAACATCTGAAGGTTCCTGCAGTAAAACCGTAACACTCAAACTTAAATTAGTTAATAATTGACTCACAGGAATTGATAAAAGAGGCGAGAGAAAAGAAAATCTTCTTTTATCCTCAACCTTTGTTGAGTCTTTTTCTTTTTCAGTCTATAAAATTTTTGATATTTAATTGTGTTAGGAAAAAGAGAAGTGTCCTACCTTTATAGCATTAAACTGCAAAGTTTGAACCACTCCTCGATTCCTGGTAAAATATTGTTCACTACTCGTCACTTCCCCGCATGTAATCGCCGAAGATTTCCGTTCTAGGAGATCGTAACAATTTGGTTCTTCGTTGGGCTCGAGTTTGATCAAACTCCTTCGAGCCTAAATTTAAACGTTATAAGTTTAGATTTATAGACTTTAAGCCCTAAAACGCTTGCTATTACTTGGGTACTGGGTGTGTGGTATCTTGTTTGCTGCAAAGATCTTTTTTTTTCAGAAAAAAGCATTTTCTGAAGTTCTTTCTGTTATGATAGTAAAAGTTTATCAAGTTTTTTAAAGGCGATTTTGCTAATATAAATAGACGAATAATGTTAAAACTGAGCAAATGCAGCTACTGTTAAAGGAGTATTTATTAAAACGGCTTTAAGTAAACACTAAGCACTCTGCCTTAATACAAAAAGTATTACAGTGCACTATAATTTGAAATAATATATATTAAAACCAAGATAAGAAGCTATTAACCGGAGGCGTTTTTTGGGTTGAGAAATGGTTATTTTTTTCAGTTGCAAGTTCTTTAGGGTTAGTAACGTTATCGTGACATGGAATGTACTTTGTTGTGTTTAAATTCTTTGTTTTTAACAAAGAATTTTCCGACTTTCCACAGTTTTCAATCTGTAAAGACTGGTCTTCAGATTGACTATTTTCACTTTCTTGGATAATATAACTTTTCTTTGATATATTAAGTTTTTCCAGCAAAATAGGATTTTTATTATGCCAAAGTTTATTTGTTGGATTTAAGTTATTATAGTACGGTTCATTTTTATTTTCTGTAAGCAAAATAATATTTTGTAAGTTAGAGTCTCTCTTATTAGTAAACTCTTGTAAAATAATTTTGTGAGTTAAATTATTTTTAAGAGTAACATCTGTAGAATTGGTCTCTAGAAATAAAATTTGTACAACTTTTTTTAAAAAAATTTATGTTAAACTTTAATAGTTTACCTTTTTCAACGGTTCCTTCGGGCACATATGATATATGATCTTCCAAAGAAAGGCTACTCGGGTTAGAAATTAGAGTCTTTTTCACACACCCTTTTTTTTTTTTTTCTACTTTTTGGGAGGAGTCATCTTTGCAGATTTCATCATTTTTAGTTCCTATGGATGTTACTTTAATAGGAGTAGTACTATATTCTGGTTGTGCGTTGGTGTTTTCTGCGTTTTGACAACATTCTAAATTTACAGGAATGGGCCTTAAAGTACCATTTGTATTGTCCAAATATTCAAGTTGTTGATTTACAGCTTCTACAGCTTCGCAGGAAACTAAATTTATACCAACTAATTTCTCCGTATTACTGCCTTCGCTATTTTGTTTACCCAATTTCGAAGTATTTTTCAAAAATTCAAGTTCAAAAAAATAGTCAACTTCTTCTTTTCTACGCTTAATATTTTTATCTGAGGAGAGTAGTTCTTGGTATTTATTATCAATCAAAATTTGGTTTTTTAAAGGCGTCTCGCTTGTTCTACTTCTAAGAGGATATCTTGTGCATTCTTCATTCCTCAGCGAATCGTGATCCCTCTCTTTTATTATCTTCCTTAAATCTTCGGTACGCTCGTATTTTTCAATTTCTTTAGTAATGACCTTATCAAAAGTCGTTGGAGTTATAATAAAGTTCTGTTGTAGTATTTTTTTCAGTTTAGGAGTGGTAGTATCCGTAGTTATTTGCATTAGAGATCTGGGAAATTTAGTGGCAGCATCTTTTTTTTGAGGAGAAAAACTCGTTTTAGGGGTCCTGCTATTAACTGAATTTTTATCAGAAGTTCCCATTGTCTCGAATAAGAATGTTTAAGGTCTCACCCTTTAGGTTTAAATAGTAGTTCGTGCAAATAGAAAAGGGGAATGCCAACTTTTAAGGGGTTAAGTGCGTTACGATTAACATAAAAAATTTGGCGCGAAACGATAGGTGATCGAGAAGTATGCCATGTTCAAACTCTTTGTAACGCCTTAAAGTAACTCTATATATAAAGAACTTCCATTTTTTTTAAACTCTCAGGGGTAAGTTAAGACCAACTATTCAGACCTAAGAAACGAGAAAGTTCTCTGAGAACCCGTGATGTACAAAGTTAGGATGGTCATTCCACAGAATATATACAACTTAAAGATAAAGCTTTATACAATTTTTAAAATAACTTCTACCAATAAAATATGTAACCAACTAACAGAGAAAAAATACCATTGCAAATAAACGACTGGGGAAAACAAGAGCTATAAGAAAGCAAGCTGATAACAGCATTAGAGTAAAGGTATCTTGCTAGTTATGCTTCCAATTCATAAAGGAAAGCAGAATACAGAGGAAAACTTAGAACAATTTTTTTAAGAAAAAGACATAGCAGAACCCCTTTAGCTAAAAAATTTAAGAAATAAAGTAAAATTAAGGAAAGGCTTGACAAGTTAAGTCATTTTACCCAGCCCGTGGGTTACAAGTGTCATGATTTATTAAGGGTACTATTCTAGATGACGTTCTAAAAGAAAATAATATGTATGTTAAACACCTTTTATGTACCGTATGGTTTCGCCTTTAAGTAAAAGTCAGTTATTTTTGTCATACAAAAATAAAATATTTATTTCTTTCTGCTAAGTATATTGACATGAGCAAATAAAGGACTTTATAATACGTCAGGCTTGTGTTCGGTAGTAGAGTTGAGGTATCCTATTATTATATCGAAGATAGAATTTATCTGATTTTACAATCGTGACTCTTCTGTAAGACCCGGATCAAGCTTTGACCCCGTGATTAAAAACGACACATTTTCTTATGAAATGGAGCTATATTTAATAAGGTCGGTATCATCGTGTTTAAAAAGTTTTGTTATACGCAAAAAACTATTCAATATACTATTGAAATGGAAGATACTGAAGATTTAAATATTATTAAAATTTTGATTGGTATATATATAGATATATACATATATATAATTTTATTATAAAACAAAACTTTTAATGTTTGATATTTTTTAATATTTTTGTTAGCAACAGACACCCATCTTGGTTATATGGATAAAGATCCAGTCAGGGGAAATGACTCTCTTAATACCTTTGAAGAAATTTTGAGTATTGCTGTGGAAAAAAAGGTTCAAGAGCATGGTTCTATAAAATTTTGATAGATTTAAGTTTTGTTTGATAGGTTGATATGCTGCTCTTGGGAGGTGATTTATTTCACGATAACAAACCTTCTCGCTGGACCTTATACAAGACCATGGAACTAATGAGGGAATATTGTTTGGGTTGAACATTTATAATTTTTAAGGAATCTATTACTATATTTTTAGAGTACTTGACCTTTTAGCTAATACAACTTATCGCTTTAATTAATATTTTATACAGTGTGACCCACTTAAAAATATAGTTATGGCCAAGTTTTTATGAGAGTTGAATATACGGCCTTTAGAAGGCGCGAGATAGTGAAACACACGCCACCTCTATATATATGATTGATGGGCTATTTAATAAACAGGAGAGAGACCCTGTTTTTTGGAAATCCTTAGCGATCAGTCTGTTAACTTTCCTAGTAATCGGTTAGTTTCATTATAAACTTTATGTTATGTTGTTTGAATAAACCTTATTTAGATTTGGATGCGTAAATTACGAAGATGCTAACTACAACGTCAGCATACCGGTTTTTGTTATACACGGGAATCATGACGACCCTTCTGGTGTAATTTATATATAATGAAAATATTCATAGCAGGACTTATATTTTTAATCGTTTTTAAGTTGAGTATAGTTAGACTTGCTATCTATTAATATAGTTTATATCGGACTCCTTTTTTCTGTTGTCCTTGAAGTTTAATATATTTTTCTAAAGATTGTTTAAATTTATAACTCTATGTTTTCTATTTTATGCCTTTATAAAAGTATTTACAAGATATATTATATTTAAAGAGGGTTGCTTTCTGAGCTTGTAGTTTCGAGTCTTTCAAAACATATTAAACCGTAAAGAATTTACTTTTTCCAAAATTTTAGCTACTTAGCGGCTAGCAACAAGTTGAAATCTAAAAAAATCTTTCCCTAAAGTAGTTGCTAGCATGATGTTATAACTTGTTAAAGTATTATGTAATAAAATTTGGTTCACCTTTCACTTTTTGTTATCTAATAATTTAAGTGGAATTTAATATTAATAACTCGTTTATTAAGTTGAATTTCTTCTATCAAATTAATTTCATCTACTCTTCTTAGAATCGTTCATATAATATTATAAGTTCATTGTTATATTAAGTTTTTATTATAAACGTTTTTTAACTAATGAGATTAGATGTGTTTTTCTGCTTTAGGATGGAAATCTCTGCGCATTAGATATCTTGAGCGTAGCTGGCCTTCTTAATTATTTTGGTAGAGCTGATGATATAGAAAATATCAAAGTAACTCCGATACTGCTGGAGAAAGGTTTATACTCTAAAGTAACTATGAAATTTTATTATGGCAAAAAAATACGCATTCCATCAACACATATCTCGTCACGTTGATTTGCAGCAGTCTTATAGTAAAGGCCGCTTACTTTTTGGCGTCCTTGAAGTTGTCTATTTAATAAATTGAATTTCTTCTGCCAAAGCACTTAAATGTTATTTATTATATATAAGAAAATTTTATCGAGTGCAAAAGCAAGCTAACTTTTATGTGTTTGTTCAGTAGATATTACTTACTTCATTACTTTTTTTTCTACTCCCCCTAGGAACGACCAGGCTGGCTTTGTATGGTTTGGGGAATGTCAGGGACGAGCGTCTCTATAGAACATTTCTGAATCAAAAAGTACCACATATATATTATTAAGTATTCTTTTCTATTACTGTATTTTTCGAGGTCCAATTTCTACGTCCCGTTGAAAGCCCAGATGATTGGTTCAATTTGTTTGTTATCCACCAAAACAGGTGCCGGCGTTTTTTTATCACGTTACTTGAAGCGTATGTTTTAAATTTTTTTTTGAAAATACTGCAGAGTTAATAGAGGACCAAAAAACTATATCCCCGAATCATTTCTTGCAAACTTTTTTCATTTGGTGGTTTGGGGGCACGAGCACGACTGCTTTATTGAGGTACTACTTATAACTAAGTAAACAGTCTTATTTATTATACGTATTTGTTATTGCAGCCAGAATTTAGAGAAGCGGGCAACTTTTATATTTCTCAGCCGGGAAGCACCATTGCCACTTCTCTGACGGAGGGTGCAGCTATTCTTATATTTAGTTAACATTGATTGATGTAAAGTTATGAGTATATCGTTCGGTATTGTACTATGTTTACATGAAACTTCTTTTTATAGCGCATTAGTTATATTTCCTTATATATTTAAGTAAAGTTATAAAAGTAGTCCTTTTAGATTTTTATCGCTACCTATTTTATGCAGGAGAGGCTCTTCCCAAACATGTGGGATTGCTGCAAATTCGCGGTAGGGGGTTTTAAAAAACATAAATTATACATATATATAAAAGATTTATAGGCGTGGAGTTTAACTTAAAGAAAATTCTATTGAAGACAGTTCGCCCTTTTTTCGCCGCGGAGGTTTCTGTTTTCAACGTTTTTATACTACTGTTGTGTAATAAATAGCTTCAGGTCAGCCTGTCCGACTCTGGCATTGACCCACACAGCACAGACGAAGTTAGAAACTTTCTTTTCAAAGAGGTTTTTTATACATGTCTCCAACAATTCCTCTGCTAAACACTTTGCATAGGTAAGCTCCATACTTTCCGAGGCCACTGAAGCACGGGGTTTAGAGGAAGCCGGCGTAAAAATAAGGCCACTGCTTCCGTTAATTCGCCTAAAGGTTTTCTAGTGAACTGCCGGTTGTATGCCTGCCCCGCCAATGCTATTCAAGGTGGAGTATAGCGGCGGATACACGCCCTTTAATATCGCTAGATTTGGGCAGCATTTTAATGACAAGGTTGCAAACCCCAATGATATACTACTCTTTTACAAAAGGAGGGGCTTTTGTGATCCACAAGGTGGACATAAGTACCTTTTGGATGAAATTTTTTATACCAAAAATAAATAGAGAAGAAGTTAAATAAAGATCGAGTGAAAAATTTTGAAACCACTTTGAAAAACCTTGCAACCGGTTTCTTTGTTGTTATATATGCGTAAACCTTCAACGCACATTAACTTTCTATTCCGCCTAGAACACTTCTTTTTGCTTTAAAATTATTACTTTTTTTAAGTATTATGACTACATTTTCTAAAATTGTTTACTATAAAGAGAGATTATCTGAAGGCGTGCAAGTTGAAGATTTACTTAAGCAAACCTTTGAAAAGTCTGACTATAAACTTGAACTTTTGGGTCTCTATACTGCTTAGTGAATAAATACTCATTGTCACCTTGCTGTTACTCTGTAAGGAGAAGATAACTTGCTAGAGGCTCTAAGACTTTTTGTTTACAAGGAAGAAACTGACTCTATCAAAAAGTTTTTATTACATATATTAATATATTTTTTTTACTTATTAATTAATACTGCTGGATAGAAGCGTCGAATTGACATTAAGAGTTGCTGCTGAGCGGTTATTTGAACAACATGAAGAGTTGATGGATGGCGGGCTTCCGAAAGGTTTTACTACTCATTTCATTTTCTTTATAATAATTATTTATTAGAATGGGGGACAGTTCCGTTAAACCTTCCAACTATCGCTGTTGCTGACCGCTCGTTTGCTAAAAGTATTTGTTGACTTATAGTTGTTGATACTCATTCCCATTCTTTTTATGCGTCGTATTAACCAAATATCTTTTTATGTATATTTATTAGTTATTTCTTTTTTTTAAACTATTTTTCTTATCGTAGCGAACAATAAAAACAAATCTTGTGTTATTACGTCCCCTCTTAAGGTAACTACTCTAAGACTTGTATTAAATAATGTTTAATACAATGCATTCGACGAACTGTAGATGGAAGTGGAAGTAAAGAACTTTGAGAAAATGATGCCTACAACTCGGAAACAATTGTTCTTTAATATGTTTATTATTTTAGAAATGCGGTGGCATTGAACTCGAAAAAAATATATATATTCCATATTCAAAAAACCTACAACAACTTGATTTATCATTTTTCTAAGCATTTGCTCCTGTACATGTGTTTTATATTTTTGTATTTAATTTTTCAGCTAAACCTTTAGGTATTTTTGGCGTTTTTTTAAAGAGGTTGAGGAAATATTATAAACAAATATTTTTAAAGTAGTAGAGGTCGAGGTCGAGGAAAACTTCCACGTGTCTCGCGTGCTTTAAAAAAAGTATATTTTCTGCCACGATTACCGTGTTACCTAATTATTTATTATTATGCGTACGTCAACCTTTGCTATTTACTCTATGTAACTGCTACTTAAAAAGTTTTATTATAAAATTAGCAGTTTTCTCCGGTTGGTCCTCAAGTAAGTGATGTTTCATCCCCCGACGACGGCATTGTGGAGGATTATTCGGCCCCCTCTTTAAAAAGTGGCCCCATAAAGACGCCAAAAAAATTAAAGTCGTCTGACTATAATTAGTGTTATTAATTTTTTATTTTATTCTATTTCAGAGCGAGGAATGACCGCCGGAAAATCTTTACTTCTACAAAGAAGCCCAAACTTTCATTGGTATGGTTAGTTGCTGTGTTCTACCCCTTCAGTCGCTATGCGGCCCCCTCTCTTTTATTGGCACCTTCTTAGCCTCTTACTAGTTCTAAGTTCATTTCATTAAAAGCTTTCTTCAGTAAACAAAGTTTTGATTTGGTTGGGGCTTCTTCTGTTTAGTTCTTTTCCTGCCAATTAATCTACTTATCCTTTTTCTTTTCTTATTATTACAAGCCGAAAAGCGAAGACGAGCAAGAAGAAACAAACGTTTTCAAAATGAACTCTCAGAAGCGCCGACTTCCCTTTTTTGGGAGCCGCCAATTCTTTTGACGGGTTTACAAAAGCGTACAAGCCAATTTGGTAAATTCATGAACCTTTTCAACATTTATTGCTATTTTATTATTACAAAGTAGTTATTTTTATTTGCTTCGACTAGTATATATCTGGGACTTTCTCGAAGTTTCTCTTCCAGTATTCTCCTGTAAAAAGCCAGCAGAATTCGTTGAGGTCGTTGTCATATTTATACTCGAACCATCTGGAACTGCACCATCAGTAGTAGTAAAAATAACTAAAGTGAATATCAATAAACAGCGGTTTCCATTTCTCGCCTTTTGCTTCTCTTTCTTTTTTGTGCTGCCTCTGCTTATCCTCAAGCCAGTCTTTGATAGATTGCCCTTTCTCCACTTTTCCCTTATTCAATATGTTTTACATTATTTTTATTGCCTATATTAAAAAAAAAGACCTCTTCGTAAGCCCGCAAGTCTGGCCTAAAACGGGCATCCGTTTTGGGCAGGCAACTTTCCATGCCAGGCCTTAGCTCTGAGATAAATACAAAAAATGTTAAGAAAATATTCGCCGCAATGCGCTGGGAAAAACTATAAAAACCGTTAAGAATAATCGTAAACTTTGAGAAATAGAATTGCTTTTCATAGTTGGAAGGAGGAGCGAACTTTTCCCATAAAGTTTGGTATTTTTCTTGTTATAGTACAATGCAGTATTTTAGCTTGATTAACACGCACTATTCGCCACGGAACCTTTTCCATGTGGCCTGGCAGAGGCGATGCCGTCCTTCCAGTTGCCTACAATATCAAAATGTGGTGTGTCCCCGTCACTATAGACCGTCCCCTTGAAAGTGGTAAACTTTGAAAAAAGTAGTAATACAATTTCCGAAAAGGAGAAACCTTTATTGTGCCAATCTTGCTTGAACTGAAGTACGAGTATCTTTCAAAATTTAAAACAGCATAATCTTTAGTTTGGTGGTTTTTAATTAAAAGTTCTCCTCCCTTCATGTTATAAAGAGAATTACAACAATAGGCTTTTTGGATGCGTGTTAATATGAGGATTATGCACAAGCAAGTCAGAGTGGCGCTTTGCATCTATGCTTATGAGTAAGACGAGCAAAACCAAGTATTATCCAGTTAGCATTACTTGTTAGTTAGTACATTTTGTAGACGTTTATAACTTAGAAGCATTATAATGAAAGCTGTTAAAAGCGCCGAAAAATTGTTTGGCGCGCACTTTTTACTTAAAAGTTTTTAAATGTTTAACAAAAGAGATAAAGGCCATTGCGGGCGGAAGAGATTTTAACTTGTGTATAATTAAAGATTTTAGATTATTAGAAAAGCTCTTAAACACATTATTAGAAACAAAGAAGAGGAGGACTACTGCAACTTCAGGAAGCGCGTGTCGTGGGAGTGTGTGCGTTAAAGAAGTCAGTAAAGCACTTATATGAACGCTACCAAACAGTGTCACTGCTAGACGAAAGAAGAAAATGAAACTCCAAACAGTATATAGCGTACAGCATCCACCCAGAGAGTCCCTATGATGATGTTATTTACGGTTGATGTCAGGCATGACCACGTGTAATGTTCTTGTCCCATGCGCACGTGTAGTGTACCCTTTAAACCAAATAACCATTGCTATGTCCGTGCATACTGTAACCATCACGGGTAGTCAATACCACTGGAGTGATTTCCAACGTTTTTCCTCGAAACCGACTTTTCAGATCCACCTGCTTATAAAAGGTCCAACCTGCAAAAGGGTATATTCTTATTCAAAGTTTTGATATATATACATAAATCAAGATAACCGTTGCCTTCCGCGTGGACAGCCGTGATAGGAGGGTGGTGGCTTACCTGATGGATCGCGCATTATTGGTTGGTTATAAAGCGTATTTCATGAAGTACTTGCTCGCAGCACACACGGAAACCGTAGTTGCGGTCCTCCATGAGGTCAAACTCGTACGTTTCCCCAAGGAGTGGATTGAAAGGCTATTATTATTAATATTCGTAATAGTAGTATTGATACTGTATTACCTTTCCCGTTCGACTTGTATTTTTGTATAAAGCGACCACAAAGCAGCAAATATACAGTAGTCGCTCGACCGAGGTCGCCTGTTGGGCGGCTCTCTTTAAAGTAAGTAATAAGAAGTTTAAACATGTGCATAATAAAACACTACAGTAAGCAGGTATGCATTTTCGAGATCCTCAGCAAATCTTTGAGTTCCTTCTCAAATTAAATTTAAATTTACAGAAGATTCAATCACGAATCTTAATTGTGAGCAATTTATTTTTTGCCAATTATAAAGAAAAACCAGATAAAGGCTCATTAAGAACAATGGGCATTGCAATTTTCGAAAAATCTATTTATTATATATAGCGACGCATAAGCCTACAATTAATTATTTATTATAAACAAAAGCAAGTACACCTTTTCCTATACAATCCTTCAAAAACTTCCAAACATTGAGCGGTTTGTTACTTTTGTTCGAAGGAAGCTGTGTGCGGTAACTGCTTAACTTTATTAAAAGTTTATATTTATGTAGTATATAAGTTAGTTAAATATTTACATCCATGACTTTTTCTTGGAGTTGACTTCCTTCCGAAGCGTTGGGAGTTTCTGGAGAGGACCTGTGTTGTGTTAACTATATATGAAATACCAGAAGCGAGTTAATATAAACAAGCTTTTTTAGGAGGGCAGAATTGTGGTCCACTGCATCGTAAAACTCGTCCTACACGCTATTTTGAGTCAACAATAAGGAAAAACGAAGTTTATGAACGTCGACTTCTTCCGAATCCAAGTGTTGAAGAGCCGCCTCTGTTTCTCCATCAATTTTATCTGTATAGACATATTAATACTATGAAGTAATATAAATATAAATAAATATATAACAGAGAAACCTCTAACTAGTTCAGAAAAAGTTCTTGTTTTTCTTTCGAGAGATATTAACTGCTGAGCGACCATCTCCATATTAGTTTCTCTTAAGTTCTCTTGGTTTTTTAGCCATCTTTTATATGCACAGTAATATAAACAATACAGAGAAGTAGCAAATAAGAATAAACATGTATTTTTTCAGAAGCTCGTTATAGCCTCTCTCAGACGCATCAACATATGCAGCAAACTTATAAAGTAATTTCTATAAAATTATTATTAATGTTAATAAAAGTTTTAGTAATATTAGTATTACATTTAAAGCATCTTCCACAGAAGAGCTGAGGCGTTTTCGCTGTATTAGAGTGAAGAGTTTTTCTGCTGCATCGGTGCAGGCTTTGTGTTCCGCATAAAGACGATGTGAACGGTCGAGTTTATTACCTTTGAAGTCAGCGGATCACTTTTGATGTGAAAGGTTAAATATACAAACGAATAAAATCTACACAAAAAATCATCAATATTTGAAGAAACGGAAGGCCGCCAGAAAGTGGCAGCACCGCTGCCTCCACTGATCTTCGCCCGAGCCAGTTGCTTCGCCTACCCGCAGAACCAGCATAAATTTTTTTTATTAAAAATATGCAAAATACTAGTTTGCAAATACAAGTTTGTGTTAATATTAACAATTATTTGAAGTGGAATCAGAAAATATTAATTGTAATCTAACGTTTAAGCATAGGGTGTTAACATTATAAAATTTTTGTATAAAGAATTAACTGATTTATAAAGCCCAGCTAATAAATGAAGCGATATAAGGTTAAATAAATGTGCATTCATCTTTTTAATTAGGCACCAATATTAAACTTAAATATAAATATATTATTTAAACAAGAGCTATAAACTAAGTAAAAATTTAAAGAAAGATTCTATAAAAGATAAATTAAATAAGATTAAAAGTATAATAACTTTTGTACTGTGCAAAACGAAAAATTCGAAAAGTTTGGAGTAAAAAAAAAATAAAAATAAAAATTCAAATTTTTTTTAACTCTGCTTAACGCAATAATCCATAAGTTTCTGACTTCGTAACAGGAGCACTTTAGATAAATGGTGTGATATTTGCCTCGGCTTGGCAGACGGAGGATAATCTGACTTCTGTGGGTACATGTAATATATAACTATATTTAAATATTTAATAGCCCACAAGATTTCAAAAGAAAGGTAATAACAAGTTGAAAATATATAATTATAAACTAACAAGAAAATCTATATTTTCTTAATGTTATAAAGTTCAAATTAACTATTTAAAAAACTAAACTTATTACTAGTGAAAAGGAGGGTTGAAGAAAAATTAACCTTTTTATTTAACAGAAAGGTAAAAGACCTTATAACACTTTAAAGAAAAAACTACTTGAAAGTGAAATTGTTTAAAAAGTGTTTAACAAAAAATAGAAAAATTAAACAGTTGTAATATATATAAAGTTACTCTTGCAAATATTTTTTCTGACTATGGACGTAAAGTTATTGTATTTTTTACAACTATACTGAAAAATATATATATATATAAAAAAGGAGACCGATATGAATTGTGTGGTGAAATCTCAACGGTTTCCAAATGTATGGCATAAACTTCGGTTTTTTCCTTAATAATTTCAGGTGCTACAGCCTTCTTGTGTTGCAACTCCGGCCGAATTGAACAAAGTAACTTTCCATCTTCCTATAACACCAAGCAATAAAGTGGTAAAAGTATAGCTTGGTTACTGATTGTAAATAGTTACAGTAAACAATGCTTACGGTTATTGAAAACCAACGAGAAAGCCAGGGGCTCCAGAGTCCTTATTAGCATATATACAATAAATATGACTTTTTCTTATAACGACTAACGTTATGACCTTGTTATAAGAAAGTAACAACGATCTAACACAGAAGTTCTAAATTTCTTTTTTAAGGTTATAATAATATATTCTATATATTTGTTAACTATATTATTAACTAAGTACTCTGACATTTCGTTATTTGGGGCAAAAATATCTAATAACTGTATATGTAGTTTAACAAATTTTCTGTTAAGGTATTTTGGAAAGTGTTTAAACGGTACACAGGATACTTATTATTACAATTATAACAAAATTATTTCACGATACTTAGTTACATTTTACCTTCCCTTCTCACATAAAGCTCCCCCTGAAAAGCAATGTCTTGCTGTGAAGAATCTTTCATCTATAAAATTTCATAACTGCTAAAAATACGATGTAAGTTATTGGCTCGCAAATACCAAAAAACTTCTGCAAAGTCTGCAAAAAAAAGTAATTTCGGGACAGTTATTAGTATCTACTCATATTATGATCATAAGTGATCCCTTAGATAAATAGTAAGGATAAAATAAATAGATAGTTTAATTAGAAGTATACTACACTAAGAGTTACGTTTATATGTTTTTAATTTATTAACGACTAAAAATATAAGACGTTTTAGGGAAAGTTTGTTACCAGCTAGTTCCTACTAAAACAGTTGAGAGATAGAGATAGTAATATTATAAAGTTTAAGTTAGATTTAAACTTAGTTGGTCTACTTTAGCTTAAAAAATTTGGTGTTGTGTCCCCTTCATTCAGGTAATTCAGATTTTTAAGTTAAAAAGCGATGTAAACACCCTTTCTTTCATACGATATTGGGGAAAGTCGATGATAATGTTAAGAATGCGCAAAAAATTTGGTATATAAAAAAAGGCCGAGATAATATAACTAACTATAATGCTTTTAGTTACCAGAATTGAACACTTCTCTCCAGTTCTTCAAATCTTATACCAGTTACAAAAATATGTTCAACTATTTTGATAAACAGATTTGAGTTTACTAATGGCAGTTTGACTGCATTCATACGCGAGGTCACCTGAGTAGCATACTGATATCTATGTCTAAAGACACTAATTGATATTTACATAAACCTATAAACAGTTTTAGTTTTGATAAGTGAGTAGTTAGTCTGGTATGTGCAACTAACCTTTTTTAAGTTATAGTGGTAACCAGCTGAATAGATATGTGGTATAAATTCCTTCGGCTCTTAATTTTATTCAAGACAAATATTTTTTATAACTTCAAATACGAAAGTGACGATAAGTAACACTTAATTTTAGACTGCCTTATTTTTAAGGCATATCTCCACGATTATTTCACTTAATTTTACTTTTACTTGCTTGTATATATGCTATAGACAAATTTGAGTTTCGTTTATCCTCTTTATAATTAGTTATGGCCCCTAAATTCTCCTTTAGTTATGTTTTTGTCACAATTTTTAATAATCAGATATATTATTTATTATTGACACTTTTCGTCTGGTTGTGGAAGGCTCTTACATCTTAATAGAGGTGACCACCTTTATTCCGTGCTGCTACAACCACCACTAAAAAATTTTAAACCTTAAAAATTATTAAAAATTGTTTCCCTACAAACAGGGCAAGGTTTAACACAAGTGTGCGGGTTAGTGCTCACCTAAGGTTTTTATAAGTTTTGCGAGAGATATTGGGCTGTGCACTCGCCGGCAGTATTTTTTTGCCAAAATTTTCAGTTCTTTATTTACTTTAAAAAAGTCATTAATGTAGGATGTTTTTTTTTAACAAATTATATAACCGACCAGGTTTATTTTATTATTTTCACACATATATTTTATATTTCTTAACTTTGAAATGGGCAAGTTAATAGAGATTTTACTGGTGAGAACTCCACACTTCGCCGTAAACTCACAGTTTTAGAGCTCGCAACACTAATCTTTTTTGAAGTAAGTGGAGGGCCCTATGGCATAGAAGAGGTCGTTAGGACTGGAGGTTAAATTTTTTACAAAAAGTACTTCTTTTTTTTTAAGTATACATATATGCCTCTTTTTAGGTCCACTTTTTGCGATTATAGGGTTAATAGTTGCACCCGTGATATGGTCAATTCCGATCGCATTAATGACGGCTGAGGTAAAGTTTTTGTTTAATAAAAGTTTATTCATACTTTAACAACCTATAAACTGCTTTAACATAGCTATCTAGTAATTATCCTCACACGGGAGGCCAAGTCTTCTGGGCTTACGAGGCTTTTGGCTCCTTCTGGGGGTTCCAGTTGGGTTTATGGTCTTTTATCGGAAACGTTTTTGACACTGCGGTGCTTCCAGTGATGTGCATTGATTATCTTCGAGTATTCACAGGAGAGTTGTCCCCTTTATACCGATGGTGACTCTCTCTTTCCCCCCCCAAAACTCATATACTATTTATTTATCTTTGTCAAGGTCTTTTGGATTTGCTTTCTTGTTCTTTATACTTTTATTAAATTTAAGAGGCATTGAACTTGTTGGAAAAGCTTCTATGCTACTTTCGGTGGCTGTATTGTTTCCTTTTGTAGTTTTCGTGTGTTTAGGTAATTTCTGTTGACATTTTTTTTCTTTTATGCTTTTTTACAAAGACTTATAAATTTAATTTTTTAACATTTCAATTTCTTGAGGGCAAAGTTCAATTTTGTGGTATTTTTTACCCGCGAAGATGCTGGTGTTTTACTCATTATCACTTAATTTAACGTCGAGTCTTTTATAACCTATCAAGGCTTTATTAGGGATTACAGTTCACTATTTTAAAAAATATTTAAATAGGGGGTAGAAATACTGTGTTGTCTCTTCTGATTGCGAATTATTTTATACCGTTAGCCCACCCTAACATCTCCGCCCGCTTTTTTTCACTGCGTAAACATATTTAATATATTATTTGCGGCCTGCGTAGAAAGATAGAGAGGTCTATTAAGCCTTTTGACTAAAACGGTGTATTTGCTGTTAATTTTTTTTATAAACTTGGTCCGTTATTTAAAATATTTATAAAAACTATTGAACTTAAAAAATAAAAAGGTAATACAGCAGAAATATGCTTTTCTATTTTCCTGATCGTAGATAATCTTGTTATTAGCAAATTTCAATAGGATTGTTCATTATGACTGGCGTTGTGTAGGCACACTTTGCAAGTAATATAAGAGAGAGTATTATTAAAGTTTTTTATATATCATAACCTTTAGCTTCTATAATTACAGCTTTTTTTCTATTTGATTTCAAATTTATATAAAAGTTGTTAATTACAGTTTTTATTGCCTTGACGCTTTTAATTTATTTTATAAGTCAGATTTTCAAGTCCTTTATAATAGGCGTTCGATTTATAAACGTGAGCGCGCTACTTCGGTATGCCAAGTGGTCTTCTGGCGACTTCCAACCTTTTCGCTTTAACACTCGCTCCTCCACGTTTTTAACTGTTCTTCTCTGGAATCTCTCAGGATATGACATGGCTGGCGCTTGCGCAGGTCTTCCTTACTTATATAACCTTCTTCCTTTGATTTCTTTTCGGTGTTCTTTTTTACTTGCCTGTGGTCCTACTTTAGAACGGAGTTGAGTTTTAATTTTTTGCTTATCTATTTACTATTATTGCTTCTATTAAAACTTGATATAGCTTTATATATAAATATAATATCGAGCTCTGACTATACAAAACTGGTCTACTTTGGTTATTTATTAAGTTTTAATCTGTTAAAAATGCTTCTATACATATATAATAATACTTTTATTTTAAAAGTTAAGAGTATAATTCATTACTTATCTTCGCTTTCTATGATAGCCTTGATCGTGTATTTCCCTATAACTTAGTTTTTTTTCATATTCAATCAAAAACGTCAAGCTACCGTGGAAATATATTTGTTATTAAACTCGTTAAACTGTAATTTTTACTCGTTATTTATTTACGTTATTATCGTATGAAATACCACACGGCGTTTCACAGGAATCTCTAGTTGCATAGTCTCAACACCTTCGCTGTTGTGCTTTTGTGTTGACTCAGTGTTTTTAAGTCTACCTAAAGATTAAATATAATTTATAGTTATATATCCATATTATATCTTTTTTCAAGCCAATATATTTTTAGCTTTTTGAATTAAATTATTAGGAGAAGTTGCGGATCCTGAAAAAAGTTTTCCGAAATCCATCGCCATAGCAGTTGTTTTATCGACTTTTGTTTATCTTTTTCCTGTTATTATTGGCGTTTGCGTTCCTGGCGCTGATGATTATAAAAGTTGGAAAGATGGTTACTTCACGCAGATTGCAAAGGTTTCTGTTTGGATTTAATTTCTCGCTCGGAATTTAATTTAATATTTTTGAGAGTTTTAAAAAAAAAGCTTCAACGTTGTGAGTACTAAGCATTAGTGGCCTGTTTCTTTGTTTTTTTTTTTGCTAAAATGCCATCTCAATATTATATTACATTCTTCTTTTAATGTTTTTTTTGTTAATATAAAGCTATTACCTGATTTTTACTTACACTTATTAATCTTAATTCCTTTATAATAGATATTAGGGGGGAAATATTTTGGGTATGTCCTGGGCGTTGTGGGTATGCTTTCTTCTTTGGGGATGCTTAATTCTCTTCTGATGTCTTCAGCGCGTGAGCTCTACTGCATGGGTGACATCGGAGGTCTTTTTTTTTTTTTTGGTGCACTTTTGTATCTCATTTTTTTATCTGTAGTACTTCCCGCAATTTTTGGCACAGTTCATCCGATTTATCGAACTCCGCACGTAGCACTTGCTTTCCTCTCGCTCTTGGTAAACACTACTGCCCTTCGTTAAGTGAGTGAGTTCAGATAAAGTTTGAGTACCGTATATCTACATCGTTGCTATTGGTCGGGGTATGACCGCTTTATTTTTCGGAGAAAATATACTTTAGAATTTGGGAAAAATATTTTGTAAAACTTAAAAATTATAACACGCAAAATTTGATTGAATATGGAGCAATTATTTTTTTGGTACAATGTTAAAGGTTTCTGCGTGTCTGCTGGTGGATTTTGATGCTCTTGTGCAATACAGCACTTTTATCGACGCAGCTGCTTTTATTCTTGAGTTCGCTGCTTTCCTTGCCCTTCGGCGGCGTAGGATGCTTACAACTACTCCGCCTATCCAGCGTATCAACTTTTCAAATATTTGTTGGTCCATAAGTCAATAAATATATAAATTACTGTTACAGCTGAAGAATGCCGGTCTTTAATAGGGACAGAGTTTACGGATCCATCCGACTTGCTTTTAGCTGGTCTTTTGTTATTTAACTTTTTCATGAGAAAATTTTATTATAAGTAAGAATTATTTTATAAGGATCGTTTTCCGCTTATATTTTAATTCTCTTAATCGCTTTTAACAATTTTCCCCCTTAGTTTATCGTTATCTGCCAAAATATAATTTATTCGAAACCTAAAAGTTGTTACGAGGTTTATTTAATTATAAGTGTTTATTATAGGTTCATTTTAAGGTTGTAAATAATTAATACTTTGAATAATTTTTTATTAAGTTAGAGGGGTTTGATTGACGGATCATATAACAGAGACATTGTTTTTTTTTTTGCGTAGTTGCGCATGTCCGCCATCTTTTTAAAATCGTTCGCTTTGTCTGACCGACGATGATTTACTTGCTTGGCTCAGCTGTCACTTTATTGTTGTTTTGCTGGTTCCTACAATCTTATATTGATGTGTGGTTCTTGTGCACACACACTACAAGTAGAGTTTCTAGCTTGTTAATTCTTTTCTGTTCTCATCGAGTTCTGGCTTGGCGTCGATTATTTAAAATTTTTATATTCTTTTGCTAGTTGTTAATAGGTAAATGCTTTTAATATTTTTAATTTTATTTTTAGATACTTAATTCATTGTATAATAACTTTGAGAATTTTAAAGAAAGTAAACTATTTTGAAACTTTTAAGGGCAAAGCTCACATCAATACAGTTCGCATGAGAGTGAATACGAGGATTTGAGAGAAGAGCGCGTCTCCTGCACACCAACAGGTATTCTTCTTTTTCTTACAATTTGCCTTGAACATTTTTCAATGTTATTATTTTGCCAATGATACTAAATAAAGCAGTATTAAGAGTAAATGCGCTGTTGTTTGTTATCAGCTACTATCATTGAAGAGAGTTTTTCAACTTTTTATCGTTAGCATCGGAAGTAATAACCATTATTAGTATTTACCTTAGTTCTTAACTTAAGTTTAGGTATAAGAATTGATGCTATATATTATTTGAAATGTTTTTGAAATAATCCGAGGTTACCAAGTAATAACTTTATTTGTTAGCTTTAATATGATATCGCTGCCATACACCTTTTAAGCCTTTTTATTTTTATATCGAAGCTTCTTATAACGTTCCTGGCGGAATTATTGGCGTCTGTGCGACTTCTTTCTTTCCGTATCTTTTTTGTACAGTCACACTTTGTGTGTGTAACTGGGAAACTTGGATTATTGAAGTGTCTTTAATGTTGCTCGGCACAGCTTCTTATTTTCTATTTCGAACCAAAAGTATTTAAATTACTTATAAGTAATCATTAATTTTTTAAAGTTAACAAGTTTACATACTTTAGTTACTTTTATGATGATTTTTAAATAAAAAAGTAATTATTAATTTTTTTAAAACTTTTCTTTCTTATTTTCTAACAAGCTGGTGCATACTGCTATTGTTGTTGCGTTTTAATGTGATTAGTCTTTTTATTTCTCTGTTGTATTTTTTACTCCTTTATAAAGCCTTTTTGTAGACCTTTCTTGGAGATATTAGTCGATCTTTCGCGTGGCTGGGTATTAGAACCGATTAATCATAGCGTTCGTAGTTATAAATATGGTATACTTACTGTTATTATATAAAAGAAAAGAGGCCAGCGCTTCTTTGTGCACAGCCTTAATATGAATAAAGGAGAAAAACTTTTGAAAAATAAAATTAAAGTTAAACGGAATTCTTGATTATTGCTGTTCATCGTCGAACATGCCATTTGAAGGGAAGGTGAAGGAAGGAGAGTAAGGAAAGGAGGTAGCGGGGGAAGAGAGGGGTAAAGACTGGTCGTTCTAGAGAGTGAGCCAGTTGCAAGGAGGTCGCTGCTTGCCCACTTTTTCACATCGGTAGATCCCCCACCCTCTTCCAGAGAAGAGCGACATAATAAAGCTGAAGAAACACCTTCAAATTCTTTGTTTTTCTCCGCAAAAATTAACATTATTAAAAGTCCTCAAAAAATATTAATAAAATCTCAGGTCTCAGCAAAGAATACTATTTTTGGAAGTATCGTAAACAAAGGTTACCCTCGCAAATATTAGGTCATATGCTTCGTTTATTTTATTCAACTTGAGACTATATTTAAAAGATATTTGTGTAGTTTTGGTTTTAACTTTCTAAGTAGTTGGTAGTTATGTTGGTTATAAGAATACCCGCAACTACACTTTACTTTCACTTGAAAAGAAGGATTAACACGTTTTTGGTGGAAATAAGGGCCTATGCTCGAATTGGCAGAAGTAATAGTACACATTAACGCAGTGCGGTTAAAGTGTGTTTAAATATACTAAAACTTTAGCTTCCAAAAGGCATCAATAAATTATTAGAGAAAAGCGAATAAGAAATAAATGTTTATAAGTTGAAAGTCAAGGATTGCAAACCGTAGAGTTCATTTTAAATTATGGAGGATATAGCTGCTTAAAAAAGGCCTAAAGAGAGTAAAAGAGGTAATATATGGGAGAAGAATATATACTTACCGAACTATCTTTAATAATATAGATGAACATTACTAGCAAAAATATAACAATATAGAAGGAATAAAGAGGGTAAAGAATTGATAAAAAGTAAGTTCAGAAGGTTAGCTTAGTGTATTATAAACTAAACTGGGATCTGGAGAAAAAATTAGCTATGAAAAAGAAGCTTTTAAAAGCAAAACTGATGGAGAGTTTCAGTCTCGTATGGAATACTTATGAGTCAAATAGTAGACTTAAGTTTTAAGTTATTTATTAAATGTGTGAAAACTTATAAAAGTGGGGTTGCCAGGACTAGCATGTAGTAACTAGTGGAAAATACGACCAGTAGTAGCTATATTTAAACTGTAAAATACTGCTGAGCATATTTTGCGGACCAGAAAGCTTTATGGAATAGGTGTGTGTGAACCCAAGAGGCTTCAAAGAAACGTTACACGGGCCTTAATGGAAAAATGGATAAAAGGCGAGAAACAGCCAATTTTTTATATTAGAATATTCCCCCCAGCGAGTGTAGGAAATGTTTTGCTTTTGCTATGCTATGCCAGAGGAGCGTAGGGAGCACTGGACAGCTTTGCTTTTGGGTTACGTAAGCGCCTCGTTTAAATATTATAATAGGAAGGGATAAAGTTACTGCTGAAACACATGTAGACGTTTGCATTATTACTACTGGAAAATCGAAACCCAGTTCGCCCACGGTTTTTCACTCCAATACTAAGCAATCTGTAGAAAAAACATACCCTTTAAGTTTAACAATGGTCAAAATTTTTAATAAGTTTGTGTAAATTTTTTGAATTATAGTTATCTATGAAGAGATTCAGGTTGCTGGAAGGCAACATATGAACTTAGCGTAAAAAATTTTAAAAGGGCGTATATAAAACAAAGTTATTAATAAAAGCTTATTTTTTTTAACTAGATTGTAATATTATCGCTTCTACAATTGTTTTTTTTTAAAGCTCATTATAACATTTAATCTATTTGAATGCTCTTCTAATTATAATCCCGCCCTCATAGAAATAGGAGATAAGTCGGCCTCGAGAACTTGGGTTAAAAAAGGTAACTAGTTGGCTAAAATTTTGGGAACAAATAGACAAAAGTACTGATATCATGGTGCACACAAGTGGGGAAACTTCTGATTTAGACACGGATGTTGTGCAAATAGGAGCTATAAAGGAGGTCTATAGTAGACCCACCTCTTTCTAAAAACGCAATAACCAGTATATGACATATCAAATCATATTAGATCTCTAATTAAGAATTACGAAGGTTTGTTTTCCCGGCGATAGGAAACTTAACAACAAGAACAACACTCGAGACAAACAGGGATTGAAAGCTAGGTTTAACAAGAGCTGGCAGAATAAATTGGAGTCTTCTGAACCAGAGATTAACACCTTATTGAAATTTACAAAGGCCGTTCGATCTACTAAAAGTAGAAACATAACACCGCTCAGCCATAGTACCAGACACTCAGCGATACCCTCCTTAATAGCACAGGCATTTGTAAACTCACTGGAAGCCCACTCTTCTGTGCTAGAGTCCGACTTAAAACCACCTCAAGCATATGTCCACCATAGTTAATGCTCGCCTTTTAATAGCTATTATATATAACGAGGTTATGCTTACCACCAATGCGGAACTTAAAACTGTAGTCCAATCCCTTATTACAAGAGGAATAAAGCCATGGGTGCCGACAATATTTCTAATTTAATGCTTAAAAAATTAAACTTAATTCCGCGAGCTATCTCTGATTTCAAGATTAATTATTAAAATATTTACCATTGGCCCTCTCCTTAAAACGGAGGTAATTAGCAAAAGTACTTTTATTCCTAAAACTAAGCCCCTAGCCGATTTATTAAAAATTATCGCCCAATAAATTTGTTGTCGTGCTTAGGGAAGGTGGCGGAAGCGCTTATCCTTTCTAGATTACAAGAAGTTGTGGATAGTAAGTGCGTCTTGCCTTATTTTTAATTTGGGTTTTTAAAAATTACTCTGTAATTCACCAGATACTCATGCTTACGGAAGAAGCTACGAAAGCTTTTATAGAGAAGTAACAGGTATGTTCTTTTTAGACGTGGAAAGGCTTTCATAAAAAAATGGTACGATGGTCTAGTCTTCAAAATGATTGCCACCAACTTACCTTTTAACTAAACTGTGGTGGTACACTCATATCTAACGAATAGAAACTCCGCTATTAGACAATTAAAGATGAGTGTCCCTCAAGGTCCCTTACTATCCCTTTACTTTTTTCTATCTACATGTCCAATATGCCAGAATTGTCAGAAATAAACTTATACGACTAATTAGCTCGTTCGACCAAAGTAGAACGAAAAAAGAATAGAAGTTATGTAACTGCTAAAATCTTCTCATCGAAGAAGCTAGTTCAACCCAAACCAACACCTTGATCTTTATTTTTAATGCTTTTATCCAGAAAAATGCAAAAAAACTTTACCCTAATTTTACTCGTTTATCTAGATAGCTGACGACACAGCCTTTTATTTTAGTTAAAAATCTGCTCGAATGGTGTTTAAAAATTTACGTCTAATTTAACAGTATTATGGCATGTTTTTCTACATGAAAGTTAATAGTTAACGAGTCGAGAAGTGGCTTTATGTTTATAACAAGAAGGAGGTTACTACCCTAGACCGCTAGTCTCTCCTTAAACCAAAACGTCATTTCTCGAAGTAAGAAACTAAATAGATTGGTGTTATGCTTGAACGGAAGATTAAGCTGGCCTCCTAATCTTTCTTACGTCCTCACTAAAATTAGATAAGCTATAGTAGTTTATATACCTTATTATGCCCAAAAAGCGAAATGTATTTAAAAAAAGCTACTGTTATACAAATCTATTACACGGCCTGTTGTTAGTCTACGCCTCTACGGTTTGGGCCCTTTCCTCAAGCAAACATATTCACCGAACTACAAATACTACAAAATCGCGTAACAGCCAATTACATAAAGAGTGTAACCTCGAGCTTATACAAAAACAGTTCACGGAATCCTTGGTTTACTGGAGCTAGTGGCCACCACAACCTATTAATCAGGCAGGCTCTTTTGATTATGACCCTCGTTGGTACACCGAGTACTCGCGACCAAAAGATTTTTAGATCTATTAGAAGGGAAATATGGCTAAAGTTATAGTTAATTTCCTTAACTTAATATATATCATAATAATAAAACGGTATTAAAATTTTAACAAGATCATTACATGTAATAATATTACTTTGCTATTAGCACTTAACTGATATATACTTTTTAGCTGTGATGATAATGCGCAATCCTTCTCGTTGATGGCGCAATGAATCGTTAAGGAAGTTGTGCACCTGCACCTTCAATTACTAGAGGGAAAGTAGATTAAGTAGTAATTGATAATAAGTCACTTCTGTAGTAAGCCAACACAAAAAATTAAATTCACTGGTTGACATACATGTCCGCTATTACTGGAGGTCCCATCGATATACTGAAGTCATTGGGTACATTGTTAGCTATTATTAAAAGGGTACTCCAGACATATCCTTTCGACTCTTAGGTGCATATTTGACAAAAACTAATTTTTTCCCAGTTCAAGAATTTTGACTTGACAACTGCTCCTTACCTCTTTCCAAGTTCTTTAAGAGTAGCTAAAAGATTAGCAAGAGTTCCTCCGCTAAATTCCTTACCTCATAGGAAGTTAGGTTTTATAAACTTTAAAGGATATATATTTTAAGCTGTTAGATACAAGGTAAGTCCTTAGAAAAGAAAAAACAACTAATTAATTTAAGTTTGAAATGAACAAATGAAAGTAGGAAATCATTTGCTAACACCTATTACTGTCTCAGCACATCTAATTCACCAATAGGTCGTGTTTTTTAACCTTGACCCTTCTGGCTAGTAGTTATACCACTGAACATATTGGACGAAGCATATTTTTCATATTGCTTAAATTCCCTTTATGGAGAGCTTTGGAGGGGCTTCAGGATATAATAATAACATATTTGTAGGTCAACTCAACGTTTCAAGTAAGAGTCACGACCTTTCTTCCCAGTTTGTTAAAGATAAAAGTAAAAAGAGTTTTAAAGGGAAAAGAAATACCAGCTCCTACATTCAATCTAAGCCCCAGAGTATCTATTTAAACTAGGTTTAAAGAAAACTTTTAGGTATACTTTGAATATATTTTATCTAGGTAAAGACGTTAGAAGTAATTTTACTGATTATATTGGGGATAAATTTTTGAATCACAAGCATGCCGAAGATTTACTTTGTAATGTTAAGTACACAACCTCCTTGCCAAAAATTCCAGTGGATTCAAAATTTATAAAGTTTGAAAAGAATTTACCTCAGTTCTACCAGTATAAGTAAGCTTTATTATTTGCTTATGGTTATTTGCTTCTTTTACCCGCTGTAATAATTTTTTTTTTGTATCCCAACTTAGGCCCTCTCTTTTACATAATAATCAGTCTTGTTTACTTTCTCATTCAAATTTAAACATCCCAATTAACTTACTTGAACACTGGGTATATAAGAACAGTCCAGAAAGTTCTTTTTAGAAACCTTTACCCCCTAAAGATTCTAACAATTTTCTAATTACAGTTTCAATTCCTTCCGACGACGAAGTCTTGTTGCACGATGAATATTATCAAGACAAGGAGGCAGATTCAGCTAAAAAGAAGGAAATGGTACTCGCCAAACTTTTCCTCTATTAAATATTGACCTTATAATTATTAGCCTACTTGGCTGCGAGCCCCCATCTATATGTCTTATGATAATCAAAAATACGGTAACGCACTTCTAAACGAAAGGTAGAGCCAATATTGTATGATATTATATATCAATATTTTATTTTTTTTAAGTTTATTGAATATTTATTAAAGGTTACTACTATTATAGAGATTTTATGTCGTCTAAAGAATCTTCTAGGGAAGACGGTTCTTTATCTTTCGATAGAACATTCCAACTCAAACAAATACAAGAGTCTTTCCAAGTTCTTTACAATCGTCCTTTATCGGGTTTTCATAATTACTTTTATGCATCTGCTTTTTTGCCTTTTTATTATGTTTTTATTGAGTTTAGAGTATACACATCCCAATAATCCTATGTTAAAGGCCATAGAATCCTATCCGTTCTTTCCTGATTTTGAGAATTTTGTCAACAGGTAATATTACTTCTTACTTTACAAATTATAAATTTATTATTTTTCTTCAATTAGTTTTGCATATATTATCTTCAATTCTGATCCCAAGCCTAAAATTAACAACGTAAGAAAATTTTTATATAAACCCTGCTTTGTTAGCATATAAAAAAACTGTTAAAAAGAGTTCTGAAGTTGAGGTCCTTCGTTTAAAGCTAAAACACGCCTTCTTGTATTCTGAAAGAGATCGCGGATTAGAAACTGAGTCTTACTATTCGTATTACCTTCCCGACTTGGAGACACTGGAAGCACTCCAACTACTGAGCAACACCGACGTATAGTTTTTTTTAAAGTTTGTATATGTATTTTAAACCATTTGTTGGTCGGATTTTTCGCGAGATTAGAATAGTAAAGAGCGCTGCTATATTTTTCACCGCGATTACTCGGTAGTTTCTAGCGATCGAGACAAGTACGTTCTCTTGTGCAAAAGGGTACGCTTGAGAAGGACCCTCAATGCTTGTGTGCTTAACTAAAGCTTCTATTTTTAGAAAGAGGCCGCCTACTATTCTGACGTGTCTCAAGTCATGAAAATAAGAATAAGGCGCTCAAGGACATCAGAAGTAAATATTTTACTGATGTTTGTATAAGTTTACTATAAGAACCTGCCGGGATTTTTAGGATGGTGAGGACTTTGTGAGGCCCACCACCGCAGTAGTCACCAAAAGGAAGTTCAGTCAGAAGGAAAGGAGAGAGCGCCGGAAGAGGTTTGATTTTTATAAGAGCGTTCTGGCTGCGGAGCTGCTATGCCTTTTTTACGCTAGACAAAAAGTTATTGGGGAAAAGGTAAGCGATGACAGCAGCACGGAGGAGGAAACGGAAAAACACGCTGCGGATAGTTATAATATTGACAACGACTTTGAGGATGAGTTGTGGAGCTCTGATGACAGCCCTAAGTGCTTACCAGAGCTTGGCGGCTTGGATAAAGGCGGAAACTTGCAAGGAACAGAGAAATAAGCTGAACAGTTTATTAGATAAGTACGTTAGGCCCGGTGTTACGGAAGAGTGCTGGTTTTAATCCGGTCGAACCTTTAAAATTTTGCTGGTGATTTTGTCCTTTTCGCTGTTTAGATTAAAAAATAAAACTTTTAAACAAACAACATACGCTTAAAATTTTAAGCTTAAAAACACCAAAAATTTCTTCTTTTTGGTAATTACGTATAAAAAGTTTTACATGATATGAACAACGGCACCCCAGCCACTATAAGCGTCTCGGTCAACTGCATTTAATAGAGCTTGAGAAATTGTTTCAAACAGATCTTCCGGTTCCTTTGAAAAAGGGGAGTAAACAATGGGGATTGCTAAATTATATTATAGATCAAGTTTTGGTCTATAGAGTCTATAATGTTGTTGGTATTATAGGTTAAAAAAAAGATTGGTTAGACGTGGACGTTCGAGACCACTTCAACTATGCCTGCTGTAAAGAATAACTTGAAGGGTACCAAGTCAGGCTCCCAAAGTGACTCGCACATGCCATATAGATTCTCAGAGCAAGTGCCGCTAACCACAAAGCTAGTAGATTCCGTGGAGCAACCGATAAGATCAGCTAGTTTAAATAAGAGTCGATTTTAATGACTAAACTTAATTTATTACTATAACCTGTGGATATAAAAGGTTTACCCTCATTATCCAAACCTGCAATAACTGGATTGATAAAGTACGGGCCAAACCTTGAAAAGAGTAAAAATAAAGCAAAAGAAGTATAAAACGTAGTTTGCAACCTCTTTTCATACAACATAGAAGAGACAAGATTCATAAAGGCTTTAGGTTTTATCTCACGGTTTTCTCTTAAAGTATAAAGTTTTAATCTGAAGTCTATACGTTCCTTCCTATGACGTAAAAGTATTTTTTGATGCTTTAAAATATAATCAAAAAGGTAAAAAGTACATGGTTTGAACATCCGTGGCTAAACCAGCGAGGCCCAGCATAAGCCGCTTACCCATCTGAAAAATCTTTTGAAACTTTGTTGAAACAGTTTGAAACTGAACACCTGTTATAATTTAGTTGTAGTTTACTTAACAAAAAAGAATTACCAACATACCTAATCTAGTATCGGACGCGATGGCCACGCATTCTTTTCCTACCATTGCAACCAAGGCAGCTCCATTATAATCCATATTAACTAGAACAAAGTAACTTTAAAAGTAAAAATCTGAAAATAAATTTATTATAAATAAGTATTTTTTGTATGTAGTATATACATTAAAATAGAAAAAGATCTCAAGACAAGTATTTTTAAAAGTAAAAATCAGAAATTAACATTTTTTACAAAAAAAAGTATTGTATATACATTAAAATAGAAAAAGATCTCAAGACCGCACTACTTTTTCCTGGAGAAATTTTCGATGTGTCAAGGAGCTCTCAACACCACCTGACCCGTAGCGTAGGCGTTGTTGATAACGCAGTTGTTTCCTCAAAGACCAAGCGGCAGAGTTGTACCTCTTGTATTGGGGCAGATATATATCTACCTTGTTACGCTCTTAGAGAGGTTGAAAATCCTTGAGCATAGGTATCGAGTGTGCAGTTAACACCTCAACTTAATGGGAACGGAGCATCACTAGAGTTACTTTGTTATGGTCTCATACTATTCCGTTTTCCACGCATAATTTTAAAAAAAAAAAACAAATATTCTTCTGATATTAAGTATATGAGTATCATCCCCTGTCGGAGTTCATAATTTTGTCTTTAGAGTTCCCTCTATTGCACGGTCTTCTGGAATAACTGTAAAGGTTGGGTTGTGTAGTGAGGTTTCGCACTCGGTTGGGTTTTTTTTTTTTATATTCCCTTTTTCATATATTTTGTTGAAATTATTTTAATTTTTTATAATTTTTTACTAGTGACGAGGACTGCATTGCAAGTAATGTACTGGCTACGAAAACAAAACTTTAACAGATTCATTAAAACCTTGGGGGGTTGACGAGCACTTGGAAGATAGTACAACTTTATTAATATTCTAGGTATTAACCTTAGTTAATTAGGTCTCTAGGTCAAAGATGAATTAATTCGTAAATTGAACCTACTGTCCTAAAGTTGTAGCTTAAAAGAAGTTTTTTAAACTGTGATAGATGCAACGGAAAGGCCAATCACGTAATATGCTACTATTAAACAAGGTGCATCTCCTGCCAATGGTTAGGTTACTCCAAAGGTACCTGGAAAAGCCAAGAACAGACAGATATAAACTCTACGCAAATATTACATGTACATCCTTAAGCTGGTTCCTTTTACAAGGGCGTAACAGGAGTTCCTACGCGAAGCAACCAATACACACCTTCAAGTACATCCATACGGTAGTCATCTACCATCTCATAGCAGGTTTAGTCGCGAACCCAAACATTATTAAAGACGAAACTCTACTAACTAACACTGGATTCTCAAAGTAAATGGTTGCGAAGACAAGAAGAACTCAAGAGATGTTAGTTCAAGACATCGGAATTCTTTACCCTACCTCTAAAATTTTGTTTCATAAGGAATGCTTACTAAAGGCGGATAACTATTAACTTTAAAGAACCCGAAAACTTTTAATCTTCAAAACTGTTAAATCCTACTTGAAGGCCACGAAGTGAACGACTTATAGCGAACTAAATACCAAACAGAGATCACCCCTATACTCATACACGACTATGATAAAATTAAATGAGCTACCAAAAGATCTTATAAAATATGGGCAGTTAGTTATAAACTCTTGTTTCATTGATAAAGTTAACAAATTAAGGTGCACCTAATAATAGAAAATTCTGAGAACTACTACAAATTTACAACCTTTAATGTACGGTGCCGTTCTAATAAAAAGCAAACACGTGGTTATATTTACAAAAAAAAATAGTATCTCTTTAAGAACAAGAAAGACCAGACCAAGCAACGAATTATAAAAGGCCTATTAGGAGCAAAAGATTAAATAACGCCGCCCTTTTTAAGGGGATTAAGTGGACAATGAAATTAGGCGAGAGTGTCAAATATTAGGCAAGAGTGTCAAATAATTTAAAGAAACATCAATTAAACGACCTCAAATGAAAATAAGAAACAGAACAAGTGAGCAAGAGGAAGAAGTAAAACGAGATAAATTTTATTAAACTTCACGAGAGAAATATATAATAGTACTGCCCCTAACTCGGGACACAAATTTAATTATCACTATAAGGATTATATGTAGCATTTATTGTTCTATGGTAGTTAGTATCTACACCCCCTCCTCCCCCCCTAACTATTATAGAACAATTTAGATACACGAGTTGAAAGCTTGCGTGAAGGAATCACTTTGGTTATTACGTTGGAGAGATTATATTCTGTCGGAACCCTGTTAAGCTGAACAGTCTTAACTCTAAGCCCTTCTCGATCGCGAAAATAACGGTTGTCACTGTGTACTGTTTTTTCAAGTTGCTCTGAGTTATTACAAACCCGAATTGCAGGTTGAATATCCACAAAGATGGGAACAGCGTCTTCTTAGCCTACGACCTTTTTATTGAGGGCTTCAACCATAGGGCTTCTTTATGGTTTCACAGTTGGCCATGAGCTCTTCCTTTATAGTAAACAGAGTGCTGTAGTCTTCTGTAAAGCTGACTTCCAAGTCACCGGTGCACCATTATGCAGAAAGAGGTAGTCCGTGGTGCTGCGTCTGGGTTGCTTATAATTACCACTATCACTGTACCCTTTTAGGTTAAAACTTTCTAAGCTTCTTATTATGAATACTATAAAGCGTAGTGCCAATTAAATATCCCATGTATTTGGCTGACAGCCAATCAATCTTAGCCGGTCTGCTGGTCTTTCTAGCTAATTTTTAACAGCGCACAATTTGTCAGGTCTCGTTACAGTAGTTAAGTAGAGTAAAGAGCCGATTAGCTCTCTCTGTACGGTACTTCGCCTAGCCCTCCGATTGACATATCTTCTTCGGTTAAACAAATGTTTGTGTGACTTTGCGTCATTCATGTTAAATCTTGTTATGAAGTTAATTCCGTCGTCATTTTGAACAACGTTCATCCCTAAAACCCAAGATACTTTTTCAAGAGCTCAGTAAGGCTTTATTTTTACAGGCAACTAAACAATCTTCAACATATAATATAAGCATAATAAGTTCACCGTGTTTTTTCGTTATGTATAAACAAGAATCGCTGAGTTAGATAAAAATCAAACTGAATCAAGTCATCGTGCAAGGTTACATTCCAGTTCAAACTGGTTGTAACGCAGCAATTGATTTATGCGATTTAACATTATATTGCTTGTCAACTTCCGCCCCTTTTTCTCTAATATAGGGGTTTTAATTGCACTGTCTACGTCAACTTGTGGCACCTCCACCCCCATAAAGGCAGCCAAACAGGCAAAAGGTCTTACAGTCTTTATCTTCGCAACAGAACTAAAGGTTTCCAGATAATTTTCTCCACACTTGAGTAAAACCTTTGGCACTAATTCGGGCGATAAAATTTATTGACGCTTCTGTCAAAGTTGTTTTTAACTTTAAAGAACCAATTGCCACCGACGCTTTTATTGCCTTTAGTAATACGGCGGAGATCCACCTGGAACTTTTGAATGATAAAGAATTTCTGATTAGTAACAGGCAATTACTCCAACTGTAGTCGCTATCCATTGCTCCATCGAGGTTCCTTGGCGTTGCAATATCGCGTGCATTAGGAGTCAGGGATTATGTTACAGGGTGGCGCCAATATTTCCAGATTTACAAAGTTTAGTAGCACATTCCTCACCACCCTCTCCGGTGCATTTACCATTAATGATTCCTTCCTGACGTCATTTTGGGTGTCTATAGTGCTATTGGAAGAAGGCCGACACACGGTGTATGGTTATCACAGTGTGTTAAAAATTACACACATTTAAAGAATAATAATCCACACACAAAAATAATAATTAAAAGTTGATAAACCAATTAAAAAAATCATAAGCTAATATTTATGAAATAAACGCTATTAAACAGCTTGGCAGAGGCTACGCTAAACACAATTATATACAAATATGGTAATTATGTCCCGACATACAAACCCATTAAACAGAACCAAATTAACCATGTTTATCTTGATTTGATTAAACAAATATACATAAATGGAAACGCTTTTTTTTTTTAAGCTTTTGTAAAGGTATATAAATGGCTTCATTCCTATAATAAAAACAACCCCCGACTCTTTGCCCTTGTCGTTCTTGGTTCTGTTGCACTGGCATCGACTTAATTTCTCTGCCTCTGTTCGCTGTGGTAGCACGCCTGTCCGGTACGTACAGGGAGCTGTCATTGTCCGACTAGAAAAGGATTCATCTTTGAAAACGGCACTTACGTCAAAAAGAATATCTCTGCTGTAATTCAACCTTGAGTAAATTTGGGTTAAAATTTTTCTGTTTAGGTGAGTCGAAAACCCACAAAGTAACCCATTTTAGCTCGTTCATCTAGCTTGGACTTGACAGAATTATTAAATTATAGATTTTGATCCCATTAATGGGAAACTTTTTTATGTCAGACCTTCGCTTTATCAATAGTGCATGTCCAGTTAACTGAGGCGATAAAGAGGACGTAAATCATTAAGAATATAGGCAGTGTGGTGGAGCTTCACCCCACAATAGCTTGGGTAGACCAGAGTCGAAGAACATGACTCTTACTATGTTAAATGACGTCTAATTGTTTTTTTCAGCTTTTCTTTCTGTAGTGTATGGAGTTGTGGGGGAGGGGGTTACTATTACCTCTCTACTCAGTAAGTTATCAAAAAGAAATTTAGGCGAAAATCCTTTAGGGTTGTCAGTGGGGGGATTTATCAAGTCACATTTTACTGGTTGTGCTATAGCGTCTATAAAGTTTAATATAATGCGGAAAGCTTCACACTTATACTTCATCAAGTAGTAAGTTCATTGTATACACATATAAAACATAAAGCATATGTGTAATCTCCCAACGAGGCTGATTTAATTGGCCCCATGATAACAACCTGTAAAGTTTCAAATACACTAATTGCCTTATGCTTGGTATTTTGAGAAAATTCTGTTCTCTTACACTGCCCAGTTTTCAAATTTCACAGATAGAACCAACCATTAGACTGACTTTGAATTAATTTAAAGTTGTCAATCGATTTATTTTTGGCCAGAGTAAGAACGACTTTTTCAGAAATATGATTTAGTCTACGATGACAAATATCGAAGCCTTTCTTAGATAATTGATTATCTGCAAAAGCTGTAATTTTCCTCGCCTCTGTATCAAGAGAGAAAGGGGTGTTCATATTACTCCCACTAATTAAACCAGTTTTATCGCTATTAAACTGGACAGTATACCCATTTACTAAAGCTTACTAACTGATAAACGATTAGCTTTAACGTCTTTGCAAATAGGCTTGTAACCTTAGTCCGAGTATATTAACAGCACCTTTATAGGTCGCGTATTAGATATTTCCGTCGGCTGTTATATTGGATATTAAGGTGGACGTTCAATAGGTAAATAAACTTAAGTCGTTAAATAAATGAAGTTCGCACCAATATCCAATAAAATTGTTTAACGTAAATCAAGATAAGGATTCCTTCTAAATGATAAACCTAGTTCTCTGCAATAAGCAGAGCTAATAGTAGATTGATTATATGAGTAATTGTAGTCATTAGTAA